CACATAAGCTGTAGCAGTAATTGTCTGTCGCTCATATGCAGTACAAATAATTGAATAAACCCATTCTCAGTTCATGTAAACCTAGTTTCTAACTCTCGTTATGTTGCTGAGATATTTGCAAAACTCCAGACCGCAGGTGACTGCGGTGGGGAACGAACGCGCTATTGTGAGAGACAGGTGAAACGAAGGACCCGCATGGTGTGGTGGTGAGCGCGTTACTACCCGGGAGGGACAATGGCGCGTTCGTTTCCCACCGCAGACACCTGTGGTTCGGCAAATATGTTTAATTATCCTTTATAAAAGCTCAGAAGTTGACTTTGAATTGAGAAAAGATTTTCATATGCTAGTTCGGAGACTCTTAACTGGCGTCTCGTAGACATTTGTCGGATCTTTTGTATCACTTATAATTGGATAAGGCATCGCTAAGTGTGGATTCGTTATATACGACTTGTTCTCAATTCTTCTCACTTTGCTCCGATTTCTTCTCCATTTTGTGGTTCAGGCCAGTCTTCGGATTAACAAAGTGACGGTCAGGTCAAACTGGAAAAACTTGGGAAACACTGAGGTCGAAAACATTCCATCTTCTGATTCGATTGGCGTTTCGTCCTCTTCGCTTTCTTCAGAAGCGGAATAATTCGAATAGATTGTCTAGATTTGAATCGAGCAGTGCTTCACATCATTGTATTCGACTGAATGCGACTACGTAAATCTACATTGAGAGAACGAGCGGCTGTGGACAATCGACTCAAGCCATTGCGTCCATGAAAAACGCGAAGGAGACGAAATGATAGTCAAGGAAATTTTTCGATAATCTCGTGTTAAGTCTAATAAACCTGCAAAATATTGATTATTCATGCCGACGTTAAATGAGAGTCATGTTTTCAATTGCTCTATTTTATGTTGATAGAGATGTGGTCGTTCTTCCCATAAACCGTAATCACTGGGATTCCCACGTCTAGGGTTGTTGTTCTTCTTTCCTGAAGCAAGAGTTTATGTTAAAGAGATGAGCCACTGGTAGTTTTTCAAGACAATCTTCACTTTGTAACTTAGAAGACGGACTTTCTATAAACGTCGACATAGATAGTTGATATATTTATTTATATGATCTTATAAACTGATCTTCTTTAGCTGATGTGAGGTTGGTATTGGTCTTCGTTGTCGTTGTAGTAGTAGTAGTAGTAGTAGTAGTAGTAGTAGTAGTAGTAGTAGTAGTAGTAGTAGTAGTAGTAGTAGTTGTTGTTGTTGTTGATGTTGCTGTTTTTCTTGTTGGTCGATGGCTGACGTCTTGGCGATTTAACCTTCATCAGAGCCGTGATGTTAGTCCCACTCGTAACAGTTAGGGTTCGGTGAGAGTCGGTGTACTGAAACAAAAATGTGCACACCAAACTATTGTCGTCAACATTAAGTGATGAAATTTTTATCATTTTAGATTAGTAAGATTTCACCTTTCATTCGCCATGTGGTAGCTTTCTTGTAATCTGTCTCTTGAAGATCCACCACATCGCTTTAAATGTAGTCTGCTACATCTAAAATGAGGGTTATGATCGAAAGAGGTGACCTGGTGTTGAGCGATAGCAGACTCTGTTATTGCACCATTGCGTTTCAGATCACAGTGTGTGATCCGAAACGCAATATGCTTTGTATTACTACACATTGGTGGGATTTTTTTTGTAATTCTGAATTAGCCAAGTTAGGTTGCTCCATATGCTTTACCATAGATAAGCGTTGCCCCTTGTGGAGAGTGGGAGATCCCATTTTAAGACTCGGTTATATCCCATTCGGTAGAACGCGTGATTAAACAAATGATGTGCTTCGAGGTATCATAGCGCATGAATAGAAAGCAATAATGTGTTATGGTAGTGAAATAATCACGTGGCACGTGTCGCTTATCTGCCTCTCGACGAGCAGAAGTTAACATTCTGTTTGTTCCAGGGGTACACAAAAGATTTCCGGTAGGTTTTCGTATTCCTAAAAACTCGAAAATACCGTATTTTCTACTACAATCTTTATTCAAAAATCTTGCAATCAGGTGGTAGTTCGCTTGACAACCTAGATGATCCAGCCGATAACAGATCTTCTCCATCAGTTGTATTAAGATACCTCACGTGTCCAACGTTCTTCATTTCCTGGGTTCTGCCATATTCGGAAACCTCTCCCATCTTCAATAATCGACATAGGGTGAACCCCGTTTCACTCTGTCACTTCCATGAGATTCATCTAACGTTGCTCTCTCGATAGCCGGGCCGGTTCGAAAACAGTGATCGATCGCTCTATCATCATTTCATGTATCATCTAGGTTTCTGAGGCGTATCTTGAAGAAGAAAGAATGAAAACTCAAAAATGTGGGCGCGGTGCCGGTTGTTCTTCTTTACCACATCTTTCCTACTCTTGGACGCGTAGCAAACCTGTTCTTTCTTCTTGGTCACTGTGGAGCAAAGCCGTTCATCATCTTAGCGCTCATATAAAATTTCTAAAATTTTTACTTCCATGTTCCTCAGTGGCACCTTGCTTACGGCGCTGTCGAAACTGGATATAATGTTGGAGGAATACCAAAGCCTTGTTGGGCTTTTCTAAGTTGATAACTTTATTTCCCGTTGACGGCTGATTGCTGATGGCACCGCTGCGGTAAAAGACTGGTTGAGAGAAATGCAGAACTTGAGCCTCAATAGCGCTACGCATAACACGTGCACTCCAGGAGAAGGTAATCGCGGTTCGATCTGGCCTGAGGTCCAGGTTTGGAAGTATCTCAGCATTGTGGTTGACGGTATGGTTCTACAATGATGAAATTTTAATTCTGAAGTTGCTTTATAGTTTATAAAGCATATTTATGTGCCCAGATGTGATGTCAGTGTTTCCAATGAAAAAATTCCATCCTAACAATATTTCAAAACCGACTTTCCTTTAACCTCGGTATGACCAATCAACGTGTATTCTTTCCTTGATAAGCTTACACAAGGGGTTGATAAGCAATCTTCCTTCGGCTGACGTTTCGACGTCTATATCCTCGTTAAACCCGATGATCCGAGTCGGTGGTCCACTGTTCTTTGTCTTCCCGATCGGCGTTTTTGTATCGAGTTGGAATGTACTCAGTGGAGCATCTCCATGTTAAAGAAGGCATGGTCCACTAAAGGCGATTCGACCTGATACGAAAAGGAAGACGCCGCATTGAGAAGATGAACAACTATAGACCGCCGGCTCAAATCATCGGATCTGATTAAGACGAAAACGTCGAAACGTTAGCCGAACAAAAATTGTTCATCAACCTCGTGTGTCCTTATTAAAGAAGTAATACTTCCATCTTAATCAATATCTTGATTGGACTTCAATTTCAACTTCCATCTTAGCCTTCTTTAAGCTAATGTAGAGCGTTCGTGGTTGACAAATATAGATTTTGTGCGTCATACGAAAAATGACTACAGATATCTTGGCGCAGGTTATGTTCAAATATTCTTCCCTGTTAAAAAAGGCACTGTTTGTCAGTTTTTTAAGTGAGAAAATTATTGTAGCGATTACTATCTATATGCTACTAAATGATAGTTCGATAGCACAGTGGTTGGCGATGCCGCCGATCAGGAAGTAAAAGACGCTGGTTCGACCGCAGCCACAACGCTCTCCTCCAGTCCACTTGGCAACGCCCTAGTCCGACTTTCTCCAATATTGCAAGGAGGATTGGCTCGATCAGCATTCTATGACATTCACAAGCAAGGCAAAATACTCAAGCGGCAGCTGAAACCACACGCAAAAGCTGGAAGACCATTGTGGACGTTGAGTGGAAGGAAAATGAATTGAATTAAAGAAGTGTTGGAATCTTCGCAGATGTGATGACAGGTCATGCAAAATTTTAAAAAAATGAGAAAAAATTGAAAACCGACTTTTGTCTGACCTCAGCATGAGTAGCCAATAATATTCTCTTCTCAGTGTTTGACTTCCAATCAGTGTCTATTATTTTTTTCACGGTAAGGTATTATGTGAAATACAACCATAGTGATGCTGAGATATGAGGACAACTCGGAACTTCAGGTGATCCTTGAACCCGCGATTACTCTTTCCGAGGCTCACTTATTATCAAATGCACCAAACGAGGCCCGTGCTTTGCCTTTCTCTAACGTTTGGTTCTATTCATGCGCTTTCATTATGCTCTTATAGAACTTGTATTCTGCTAACGTTTCGGCGTCGTCACTTCTTCAGCTTCCTATGAACCAACGTTGGACCATAATGAGGTGGTAAGCATTTTTTAACGACAGAAAATTGACTAACTGAATGATGAGTGGACGACGTGCTTAAGAACCTTTCTTTACCCGGTTCGATTTTTTTCGGTTTCAGTTGTGTGAAGCTTTAGCGATTGTTATGCAGGAGTTATGGCTCTCACATGAAATCACCGGCTTTAGTGAAAAATGCATTATGTTTTAAAATCAGATTATACGGGAAAAGCAAATTGTAAATTGCGGATTTTCGAAGAATTATATCAAGTTGGGGTGCGTGTAACGAAGTGGTTAGAGGAGCCCTGCAATACACATGGGATCGATCCCACACCAAGGCTCATCAAGTCTTCCATCCCTCCGGGTTCAGCAAATTGGTACCATCCATCCCTCCGGGTTCGGCGAATTGGCCAGGGAAGATAGCAGCGCTGACTGACTCCATACATCGGTAGACCACATTCTGTAGGCCAGATATGCAGTGAATGACCTCTAACGACGCTTGATAAAGTCGGATGCAAAACGAGCCCTTCAACGATTGGTTAGCACCGAGAACTTCTTTCTTTATTTTTATATTACGTTGGTGATCTAGAAGTTTGAAGTCTCTTTCTATTGAAGGGCATCGTCACTCGCCCTAGGAGTCGTTTGAGTCGATGGCGAAATATATCTATGGCTGTGAAATCCTCCTGCACCATTAATTGTATAATCACTGACAACCTTCGAGTTTGTCAAAATGGAGTTAGAAGGCATTTAGATTCAAGTGATGACTTCTAGCTGATTGACATTTGTCGAAATATGATTCTACTAGGTGATTATTAGCCTTTTAAGGTGGCGTCGTCTGTGGAGAATTCCGACTTGTTCAAGGGTTTCACAACGTGTTGTTGTCGTCTCGTAGGAATGTTCCGGTAACGAAAGCGTGTCTCTAGCCATATCATCGTCTTCGCCATCACCATCACCTTCGCCGTCATCCATCCATGACCAATCGAGCGCAAAATCTGGATTTGCATATATCGAATTCAACGCCGGCGACGTCGGTGAAAGTGCAGCGGTGACGATCAGGTGAATTGCGGTCAGCGTCGCTAAGACGAATGATGTGCGACTCAAGAAACCAGCGATGACTACTGTGGACATCGTCGCTCATTGACCAGAATTCCTCCGATTGAATTCATTTTTATGACTGGTTGGGTCGTAAAAATCCGTCTTAAAGCGATAAACAACACTCTGATTAGAGATCTGTGGTACTTCTTTGAATAATAATAATATATAGAAGGGAAAAGGATGAAAAGTTCGGCGTTGACTCTTTCATGATACGTTATGCATTCGTTCCCACTAAGTATCGTAGGTGAGTTGAATACGTACTTGTTCTATGCAAGGACATTCTGGACCTGCCAAGGTATCCAGTAAGTGTCTTTATGGTCCTGAACATGACTGGCAGCAGCTTACTGACTCAGGAAGGATGAGAGGATTTGTTAGTCAGGGGACTAGTGATCGAACCAACGGGAATCTCGAACGACTGGAGTATACACTCCCATAGTATACATATATATATATATACTTTTATATATATATACCTGAAATTTATTTTTTTAGAGTTCCTGGCTAACCGGCCAGAGCATTCCATATAATCACCAAAGTCCGTAGCCCAGTCTTGTAGATCGAAAGAGAGGTTTGTCGCCTTGAAAATAAGTTTGTCTTCGGATTTTGGACAGTTCCGAGGTCCAATTGCTCCTATTTGGTCTATTTGGTGAAAATGTGAAACACCTTCTCAATACAAAAAATTTGGGTAACTCAAATGTGGAAAGACTATATTGCTGATTACAAAGTCATTAATTCATTGCATGAAATGTCACCAGGGAGGCATTAGGGCTTAGGGCATTAGGGTATTGCCCACGTAGGTCGACGCGAACTCCAGGAAAATCGAACTCACATCTTTCCTTTACAATTCACAAATTCCTTGCTTAATTGGTAAGGTGGGCGCTTAACCCCTTGATGAGTCTCTTTATGTATGCATTTTTTTAACTGAAGTGGGAAACGATTTTTTGTTTTTGAAAGATATCGAACGGAATTCGGTTTTAAGTTGAAATCATTATATAGGAGGAAGAGACGCAAAACACAGAACATCTGTAAATGCCATTTTCTGAACTGCGGAAGAAAATCACCACGGTTTTGTAAGTGGCGAAACCTGGGCGGAGTTATGGATGCTACCTACTCATCTTTGCGGCTTCAACCAATGATGCTTCTCTTCTCTTACTGAGATCGCCTTTCATTGCTTCTCTGCCATCCTTTTGAAATTCGTAATTAGGCTTGCTTTGCTTCCGCTTCGTGCGACTCCGCGACTTCATATCAGATGGAGAGTTTATGTAGATAAATGCTTTTTGGTGACTGTCAATCTCGGCTTTTTAACACTATCGTGAACGTGTTGGATAAGCCTGTATCCCTCACTAATGCTGCCAACAGTGCTATTTCTCCAAAAGTCGGATGAAAATCTGAACACATTCCAGTGTACGATGAAATTAGCGATTTCGCTTTTTGAAATATGCTACTTGCTCTTCTTTCCGCAGAAAAAAAATGCATACCTGAGGTGATGGTCCCATGTTTTCTACAACTTTGGTGCAAAAGTGACAGCATTTAGGCAATACCATCAATTTACAATGGTGGGAAATATTTTGCTGTGGTGATTTCCATTGAGAAATTCCCACCCTGAGAGCTGAGAGAAGGGCTTCTAGATTTGAGAGTTAGCATGAATGGTCTTCGTCATCACCACAAAATCACAAAGCTGTCTGCCTGGCTGTTCTACTCTGCTGTGTCGGTTTTGAAGCTACGTTTTTCAGATGTTTTCGTGGACATTCGTGTCACATTAAAGAGGCTATGTTCTTTGCAAAACTTGCTTAATCCCACACACAATTTTCGATTTAATTTTAATCACAGCTTGGTGTTGGAGCTGGACAAAGTCGAGTTATGAATGTTCATGGGCATTTTTTCAATAGTTATCCTTTGATTCGAGAAACTAGTCGTTCAGATGCTTTGAAGGGACGGTCTTAATCGAGTGTTGCTCTTCTGCCTCCTGGTGAGGTTCTTAATTTTCACTATTTTTCTATTAATACGCACGGGAAGCTTTCCAAGTTCTGATGGCTTGATATGGTCACGAATAACTTGCAGAGCTTTTTCAGTGTAAACAAATATAATATTTGTCAGCGATGAGTCTAAACTACTTTCGAATTCACCAAGCACTTGATTACGGGCGTTTGTTTGAACTGAGGCGCAGGATACAATCCGCGTAAATGCATATACACCAATGCATTGCATGCGTGGTTGCATGAATATGTTTACATACCAACAACAGGTATTTACCACTCCAGAAGGGTAGAACAAAAATCCATATAATGAATTTAATAGTATCTGAGAATAACTTAGGTTTTGGTATTCGTTTAACACTTTGTTAGATATAGCATGTATTTCCACAACAAACGGTTAGCGGATTCTTCCGTGAGACGACAACTCGTACTTTATTCTTAGGATATTCTTAGGATAAAACGAGCTTCCACTTTGCCATTTACTTTCCTTTTTTTACATTTTCTAATTGACGATTTTTCTCAAGTAACGTCTCAGCTCACCTGTGAATGACAGTTCTTTAGAGCAGGTTCTTTTCATGGTGACGGTTCGAGCGTTTAGATCAGTTAGTACGGCTTTTGCATTACAAATTTTGTGCTACAAAGAAGCGAATTGGAAGAAAAAAACGAGGTTAGGAATGTACTAAACCTTGTGTCGGGCATGGGATGTTATAAGGTTTCTGACCGTAAAAGGCGCACAGTCGCTACCACAAGTCTAAGTGGTATACCATAGCGAAACTACTAGGTATGGTCAGAAACTTTTATCCATTCCAAGCTTCTTCTTTAAAGGTGTCTGCGCAGCATGTAGTATTGTTCTAGGAAGGTGTACAAAATGAACTTTTGCCAGCGCTTGTTCTTAGTCAGAAGGCTGTAAGCGTTTACATAACTGTCGCGAACTTGCACCCCAATGATTAAAACTGTTATTTAGTAGACACGAGGCCCTAGTTTGATCATGCTCACCTTGCTGCCCAAGCCACTCCTGGGAATTGTTGCCGGACTTCCCAAAGGGGACAAAAATGGTGGCTTGATACATCAGTGGATATTTAAACAGTTCTACGATGTTTATTGAAGTTGGATGAACTCTGCGTCCCTAAACGGATTGGTCGTTGTTGCCCTTTATGTCACTGTTTGAAGGTGTTACAGAAAAGAGATCTATCGATGATTTTCAAATTTTGATTTAATCTTCTCTAAACCAATGTCGAAATGATTTAGGTGATACTTGGCTGTTCTAGATATTAAGGACACTCTGAAAAATTCGTTGGGTAAAAGAGGCGAATGAAAATAAAGGTGAAGGGAGCAGTGTGAAAGAGGGAGAGGAAACTGAATTAGGATAAAACTTATAGCAACGACTTTTTATGATCATCATTTCATCGCTGAAAGTCCTTTCTGACGATTTAAAAACAGATAAGTTACATTTGTAGAGATGAATTCCCAAAAAACATCCAGCGATTGGAGCAAACAGCAGAAGACTTGCATGCGTTACTGCGGCATGTTCACCTCTACTCATTTGGTGGTCCATTAATTTAAGTGGGACGAGAGAAATCACACTTAGAATAATGCCTTTTCTTTTTGCTGTTTGGTGCCGCTTTTTAGCTCATCGCAGTTTGGTGTGACACTTATTTACTACTAACTAAGCTTAGAGTTGGAGATGTGGAACCTTCCTCAGTTTTGGTGATCTTGCTGCTGATTAGGAAAATCCGTTGTGCATTGCAATTCAGGACTCAGGAGCAAGGTCATTTTCATCTGACTGCAATTTTTTCTTTAACTTTCGACAATATGATTTTCATTTATTACTTCGCTCACTTTTATAAGCTTTAAAATCGTTTCACATCATGCATAATAGCATTTTTGTAACCTTTCACTTTGCTTTAGTTAACAAAGTTTCAATGTATCAACACTCATCTGCAGTTGTTCGCAGCAAACGCTGAAGTTTCATAGGGTATTATAAAAGTTTACGAAAGTTAAATATTCGGAGTTCTTCGTTCTACTTGGATACTTTCACTTCAGCGGGACCTCCGTCTTGTGAAGTATTTCGCGCCGGTTATTAGCGATTCCACCGTTATTTATTTTAAAGTGGTGCATTCTAGTTAAACACAAAAGGGAAGTATCGCCTCTCTTTAACATAGATGATTTCATGCTGTGCACTCTCATATCCTACTTTTTCTCACTGTCCTTTCTTTTTCCTCATCTAGCGACTTGCCGATATTTGCATAACGCATTTTCATTTGTGCGGCAAATATCCTATTCGTAAATTTTAGCGTAATTTTTTAATCAAGGGAGTATTGAACGCAAAGGAATCTTGTATGGAGTCTCATCCAATGGACAAGAGGCAGGGTTACTACTCGAAAATGCAACAAGCCTCTTCTGAGTGTACATAGATAACTACCGACAAGCTGGATATCCTCTCGCTAAAGGACATGCGTCATGTTTCTCTTCTTAGCCTTCGATCGAGCTGAACTCACGGGGCAACCGAACCGCAAGAGAAAGTGCAAGTAGAATGGCTACCTGTAGAAAAGCGCGCGTTTGTGTCATTTGATATTTCTTGGAATTACAGGTGATACAGGTGGTTGAGTCAAAGGATAAAGCGTTCGGCGTTGATCAGTCTCTGAGAGATGCACCATGCGTTCAACTTTATGGATCGCTAGAGGTGACTGGGTACATACGCGGCCTGGACACTTACTTCTGGCGGCCTACTGATGTATTGAGTCAGTGCTTCTATTCTTCAAGACAAGTCTGGTACAAGTTGCCAGCCCCAACGCTCTCTTCCTATCCACGTGAAGATGCCCTGACTCGGCTATCTTCAAGATAACAAGGAGTGTCGATTAGACCAACATTCTACGACATTCATAAAGAAGAAGAAATCCTCAAGCAGCAGCAGAAACAACACGCGAAATGTTCGAAGACGAAAGTGGACAACTAATACGAGAGTTAAATAAAAGATTATGCTGACATCTGCACAATAAATGTGATCGCGGATCATTTAATAAAGAATTAACGATATTCTGCATAAAAATGAGATCGTACTTCAACTCTTTTAAAAACAGGTCTCATAGTTGCATTTGTAAGACTACTTTACCGAAAGAAAATAATAGGTGTTTATGTTCGAAGCTTCGGCTTGGCATTACTTTTTAAAGTAAACTGTTCTCCTTCCATTCCATCTTTCCTTCATCTCCAATGGTTTGCCGTTTCATCGCAATCTCTTCGTTCTCTTGCTTGTCGAAATAGCATGTGTACCAGTGGTACACGCTAGCCTTAGCGTCTTTCAAGCTGAGAAGGATTTCGACGTCTCCACGCTGAAACTGGGTTAAGAGTAAGCCGATACTAGGCAACACTGACGTTTTGGTGTTTAGCCACAACGTTACAAATCCCTCGAATCTAAAAAAGCAAGCGATTTTAAGATAGGCGCCATCAGTAAATTACTGAGAAATTTTTCCGCTACAGCTAATAAAAAATTTTTCAAGTGTGCCTTTTTTCCTGAACATAAGTTATTTATTAGTTTTGCATTCAAAAATAACTGCAAACAATAGCATACTGTTCAAACTGCACAATATTTAACGGTCATGGGCCAAGTGCAAAGAATTATGAATCGCACCGCATTCGTATCACTGCAATTTTTCCATTTTCTCCTAATCCTTCAAATGAATTTATTGGCGCGTCGTTGCTAGTAGCGCCAATAGAATTGAAACATGGCTGACAGAAAGAGAAATCGAGGGTGTCATTTGGTGTGGTAGATAACACATGAGTTCCGGAAAGGGTAATCACGGGTTCGAATCTCAACTGAGGTTACGAGTTTTGCTCAAATCTCAGCATCATTGTAGTTATATTTCACATCAGGAGTTTAGATGTTTAAAGAGGTCTTCTCCAAATTGCAACAGAAATGCTTCCCTTATGCCCATCATTTCCTGCAACTGTTTTTCATGGAAAGGATTCCTGCATGGGTTCTGCTGAAGAACGAGAATCCATAGTCTTCTGTGCTTATTGACATTTTAAATACACTTAGAAGGTAGTTCTGGAATCCTCAGATAACCGCGCTAGACCGTTGCCAGAGCGTCACTATGAGGAGTAGCTGGCTCTAGAAGTGACTTCGAGATTTCTAGGAAACTGTTGACTTCGAAATAATGTAGTACGGCAACGACTCTTGTGATGGGAAGGCTCCTGCGATTGTTCGATCGATCGACGACGTACACAGGCAATCCGGAACAAAAGTATGTAAACAAATAGGTAATCAGGTATAAATTTGTTTTTTGATTTAAACTATTTATAACCGACTATATAATTATTTCCCTATTTTACCATAAAAGAATGGAATCGTCACCAAATTTTCGTGATTGTAGTAGGCCTTAGTCAAAAGTTCAGGTCGTTTGACAAGAATTTATTTCACTCTTGCCGGAAACTCGATTGGAGCCAAGGAACAGCGTTTGATCGTCGAGTTCTCGACTGTGTCAAATGTTCAAATTTTTAAAGAAACTATCAAAAATTGCTGATAGAAATGCTCTTTTTATGCGATAGTGAATTCGATGGGTATTATCTGATTTGAACGCAAACTTGTTAATGCTTCGATGACTGTCGGACACCTCCAGGACGAGTTTTTACTTTTTCTCACCTGAAAAGGACGAGTTTGTCTTTTTTTAGCATAATGTTTCACCTTAAGCAATGCGACGGCTATTCGCTCGTCTGGGCATGAAATGAATCCCGTCGGATCTCCATTCTTTGCCTTGAATAATAGGCGGAGCGTTAGGTAGCATTCGGATCGGATGCGCACCACGCTTCTGGTCGGGTTATGTTGCCTGATCTCCTTCGTAATCTCCAGAAGATTCGTCTATAGAGGTAATCAAACCCATTGTAATGGGTGCCTTATATCCCAAATTTCGAATATTCGATATTCGGCATCGAATATGCGGAAAATTGCAGTCGATTTTGCTTACTTATGAATTTACTTAGTCCTACATTTAGGTCCCAAATATGTTAATCGATTGAAATTTTGGCTGGTTTTCCAACCATAGATAGCTAGAACTGTCACATGTGCGGTGAGAATCAGCTTCAGCTCGGTTCTAATAGATGTACATATGCCCGAAACGTCTCCACTTCTCTCAGAATCCAGCAATGTCGAATATTCGGTTTATGTCGAATAATCAATTATTCGAGATTTTGAGTAAACCATTGAGTGCATGTATTAGTTACAGTAGTTGACGGACTTTTTTTCTATTCAGATCATCGACGTTACAAGCGACAACTTAGCGAATCATTCGATCAACAACATATTGATCTTAACATTACCGTACCCTACATATTTTCGGCAAGACTCTATCCATATGGTGAAAGTAAAGGCGATTTGATTATTCGTCGCTCCATTGAGGTCTATAAACTTGCTAATCCATTTCATTATCTTGGCCAAGTATATGACACAATATATGTGAGTTTTTTCTCGGTTTTAATTTTTTTCATTATTCATTTGTTTTTATTGATTACTACTTTAGACGTTGTTCGTTTATTTACTATGCTGTAGCAGATTAGCTTACACTATGGATAGATGGTTTATTTGTTCAGCTTTAATGACGAGATGAGAACAAAACAATATGAGTGGAATGTGGTAATGAAATTGCAAGGTCAAACGTAATCAAAACCAATAATTATCGTCATCACTTGAAATGAGGCTATGTTTTAATAGCTAACGGAGAAGTCACAAAAGGGTCTGGGAATTAGATCAGTGTCTTCACTGAGAAGCTCCAGGTCATCACTCATACTAAAGTTAACTACAGCTACTTGTGGTGGTAGTTTTCCAAGTAATTCACTAGCATGGTAACAGATTGTAATCTCATCTGGTAACCCATGGTTAGACGGTTTCGGTTCGATCTGTTTAAGTGTCATTCACATCATCATCGAACTAGTTTCTTATTTATAACCAGCTGAGCCTCTCCGTGGTGGACATTATCTACCCGTCTATGAACTCTCCACCTCATTCGGCTTGTTTTACTTGGTTTTGTTCAGGATCAACACTAATAATTGTTATGTGTAGTCCGATATATTTTTTTAAAATATTATTCCTTTATTCAGCTTATCTGGACTCGACATGTCACCGATTTAAATACAATATAACTTGTTAGCAAGTGAGGTTAATGATGCACGAGTGCCTTGCAAGGCTGCATAATGGTGTTAAAAGGAAATTCCATCACTCAAAAATAGCAGTGTTAAACAGCTGAGCTTCTGAGCCCATGTGCATCATAAGGACGCTTCTCAGCTTACTGTTAGGTTTTTAATCCGAAATGAGCTTCTGTTTTGATCTTCTTTTCCTGAAATAAAAATCGGGATGGTTTAAAGTTCGTGGGATTGAATTCGATGGACGGATTTTATTCTAATGATGAGAATAACCATGAATGATTGGGGCAGATTTGCTGTTTGGGTCATCGTTTCCTTTCCTGGGTCATCTTAAGCCATGCTTGGAAATTCTAAAGTACTTTCACTCAGCACTTTCTTCGTTATGAAGAGAACTCTGGGACTCTCCATTGGTGGATTTTCTCTTCATTCGTATAGCAGATAAGATCTTACTGTTGTGGAAACTTGTCGAGAATATGACCCTTCCGCGACTCTTTACGAGTCGCCATAAATGCGATCGTTAAGATTTCGTTAAGAATGTTCATTTAGTAGGGGTATTCCTTTCCATTAGTTCTGTCTAAAGTATGTGATTTGTTTCACTCCCGTCTCATCACCGATATCGTTTCTATCGTCAGTGATCGTTCATCTTAATTGGGTGCTGAAAGCTACCGATTGCGGTCAGTTGAACTAGATCGCACCATGTATTTTAATTGATCGTGTTAGGTTTTCCAAAAAGACGATCAAGTTTTTGGTAATGAGAGAATTCGTTAGCGGTTTTTCCAATGATAGAGTAGAGCAACGTCAAAGCTGATTCAACAAGAATCGGGACCAACGATTCTCAGATAAATCTGTTGGTTTCATCAAATAGCAGGATGGCGGTTCGGTTCTGTCCTTAGCGATATCGGCTTTGTTTCATCAAATCTAACTACAAATACGTCAATTTGACATAATTTTCACGTCTGAGTAAGTCTTGAATTAATTAGGAAATAAGTTAGTATTTGAGGAGTTTCAATCAGGGATTTAGTTTGGTCAATAGTAAAACACAAGCAGATATAGAAAACTGTCCCTCCATTGTTAAAGTGTCTTCCGGAGACTAACTTTTCTTTTACGGTCCTCACAGTTCCTTTTTCTTCTTTTACCTTCTTCTTTTCTGGCTGTTTATCCGAAGAAAACATCGAAAGTTATTTAGTAGCTTATTGTGATTCTTTAGATGAGCTAGTATTAATTCAAAGGCTAAAACCCTTCACTTCTCTGCTTTTCTCTATGCTTGTTCGATGTCAACGCAAGGATTGCCACTAAATGTGGATTTTCGCCATTTTCCATATCGATATAGTTTTTTCGTCTAGAAAGTTCTTTGTTTATCTCTTTATGGTCTTAAACTGGGCCATTCGCAGTCTTCTCTATGCAACATGCAATTGACAAGCACCTTAGTGCCTATCAGTACTTATGACCTATTGATTGATCGCTATCTTTTTGTTAAGTATTATCTTCTCGTTAACATCTAAAAGGTATCTGTCTCAGTTAAAATTACGACTGTATCAAATGCTATATTTTTATAGTATATCACATCACCGTTGACGTTTGGCAAATTCATCATCTCCTTTGTTGCGACTCCACTTCTTTCTCATTCTCTTCCTCCTTTTCGTCTTCCTTTCGCTCCCCTCCCTCATCTTTCCCTTTCATCTCCTATCCTTCTTTCTCCATGTATGTTTTTTAGTATGTCAATATTCTTTCGTTCATTATTTGCTCATACGTCTAACTCTCCAATTTGCTATAAATGTCGTCGTGCGTCTCTCTAAACAATCCTTCTTTTTTTATTTCTCCATAGAACAATTCGTTTTCTTGTTCAGTATTGGACAAAGATCTATTTATTTCCAGTAATTCTTCTCAGTATTCTATCGCTGTCTGCTGTCTGTCTCATCTGTCTGCTTGCTGTCGATTCCTTGTCTATAGCAGTAATCTAGAGGTCTTCCACACCTAGACTTCTTTTCTTCCCTTCTCGGTTTCATTCACTCACACTTACTCTTTATCTCTTTCCCCTCATTCGTTTCTTCTTTTACTCTCGTTTTCTTTTATTCACACGCACACACATCGTATCCTCAGATACAGTGTATCCTCTTTCTCTTAGTCGTCCAGAATTCCGGTTATGCGCTCACCTTAATAAGGGCAATAGTGTTTGTTTGTGGGTTTCACATTCACCATGATCACGACGCCTCCACAATGGATTTGTCGGGATTGGAAAGTTGAAGTGATAGCACGAAAGAATGGAATGAGTGGGAGTGGTGATGAGATCATACAAGTAGAAATGGATAAGTCATCAACCTAAAAGGCGCTTTTTTTCCTTAGCCGTGCAAGTTTACAAGGTGTTAGCTTTTGAAACCTGGATATCAAAGGATAAATAATGCTGTGAGCTGCAACCAAAATGATGCTGAGACATTTGGAAAACTTGGACCCCAGGCCAGATCGGACCGCGATTAACCTTTCCGAGGGATCACGTGTTACATATTGCACCATTAAGGCTCCGTTCCCTCAGCTAAAGCTGTGAACATTTATTAATCTTTGAGTGATGCGCCATGTATTTCACATCATCAAGATTTGTCAAAGGTGATTGAATGCATATCTGCGCTAGATAAGGATTCCTGGTGACCTACCGACTTGTCAGGTTAGAGCTACGCTACTCTTGGACAACTCTGCTACCAATTCGCTGACTCCAAAGGGATGGATGGCTTGGTGGGCCTAGAGTGTGGGATCGAACCAAAGAACATGTGTATATTGCAGGGCACCTCTAATCATTGAGCTATACTCGAACATTGATAATGCCCGATTGAAAGTGGTCAAAGGTAGCCAATATCATATCACTTTCATCCAATCTCTCTCTGCCATCAAGAAGCCCATCAGATTCGTCACGCGATTTCGCCGCAGTTCCAAGAAAGGGAGAGAACGAGGGAGAAAGTGAGAGCGAGAACGAGAGAAGGAAATTCACTGAGTTGTGTATTCTGGGTAACGTCGACACTAATTAGTGGATTTTCATCGAGAATTCTCTTCAATGAGAAACCGATCGCATATCGATATTCGACCGAATATTGTCGAATATTCGTTTTCCGTGCCATTTGGAATTTATTTCAACATAAAAACCATATTCGGTTTAATAAGCCAACAATTTAGACATTTTACCTTTCTTTTGTTTTAATTTCTTTGCCCCATTTTTTCTGTGCTTCCTCTTTTCATTGTATCGAAAGGTCTTCCAGTTTGCTCTAAGGAATGCAGTTTGAAAATTCCACAATACCCACGGTTCACTTTACGTTTTTTAGTGCTTTCAAGGTAGAAGTGGGACCTGTTTGTTGGAGTACATATTAAACCGCCTATGATATTCTTCCTACCCAGGCTTCGGTTAAGTCAAAATGCAAAAGATAATTCAGGTACATAAAAGGATACCAATTTCGTACACATAGATGTGACTGTGTGTTTTCCAAAGGTATTGATCGAACCGGTGCAACAAAGAGAAGGATTATCCCCTGGACTTCATCTACCGCTCAGAGTAGTTGACGGTCATTTGTGGAAACATTTAAGCTCCAGTCCAGCTGATGATGCCCCAACTAACGTTACGATTACTCAGCTTAAGGTCTTTATGTTAGAGATCCTTGGACATTTAAACCTGAGATATTTGGAATACATTTGAGTTGCTTTTTTCCTAAATGTGTTAGTTTTTTGAGCATTGTTGCGGGAACCGATTGGCAACTCAAGTCCTTCTAGTTATATGCTTTCACAGTCAACGTCGATAAACCGAATCATCGCAGAAGCACGAAGACCATGGAATGTCACATTAAGGATAATCGTACCATAGTTCGGTTACCTTATCGATGGTTCAGTGGTTGAGGTCATTTATCACAGCCATCATTCTCTTATTCATATGCGCTGTTTGTCTTCTCGTCTTTCCCTAGTAACAACTAGAATTTAAGGCATTTATTAAGAAAAAGGAGACCGTGATACCAATGAATTTTGAGCATAGCCGCACTTTCAGTGCTAATTTTCGTCATTATATAATAGATCTCAATCGCACGCATATCTTTGATTCTGCCGAATGACTAGAGTGAAGATACGCATTGCTTCCTTTCTACACAGACTACTGCTTGTCTCTCTTTCAACAGCAGAAAACGTCGGACTTCGGAAAGGAAAATTAGTGATATTTGTTCTTGTGTCTACTCTTTCAAAGAGTGTAAGTTGCCAAATCTACATAGCTGTTGGAAAGGTCGTACTTTTTAATCGACAAGCTCGCTCGAATGCTGTCATGTAGTTACGAGGTGGTCGAATTGTTCGCAGAAGCTCATGCTCGGTCTCTGTGGTTTTTGTCAAGCCCGTTGACATTATCTTCCTAAGATCCCTTTCATAGTTTAGTAAAGCAGAAACAAATAATTTTAGGATATGAAGACACCTAAGCGAAGAAATACGATTTGCAAATTAGATGTTCGTATTTATGACCTTTCCCATGCTTTTGACAAGTCTTCGATTATGTGTGTCGTGTTCTTCATGGTTATTAAGTTCATGTTTTTCTTATTTACTACATTTAGCCAATTTTTGAGTATGAATATGCTATTAAGAAAGGTCAGCGCCGTCTCTGAGGTAGAACACTGGGATTAAAATCAGAGAAATCATTTGTTTGTGGCACTGCAAGTCCGTTAGCTTCCGTTTTTTTTAAAATTGAGGTTTTTTCAGATGATAGTTAAATCTGTAAATTCTTATGAAGACTATTGTTAAAGCTTTTCCGAAGCGGATTCGTCCGTCCTTAATCGATGATTTCCGATTTTGGTTATTCAAAGTCCAAATAAATGGGGCAACGCTTGAACTCCTGTAGCTTTTTTCTATTTACAGTAGATTTCGAAGAGATGTTCTTCCGTTTTCAGGAGGGATGTTTTCTAGGTGATGTTTGTTTTTTCTCACTAACTAGTGCAGTGATGTCGTTTCCGATCTTTGTCGCTCTTTTGCGTCATTAAATCCACAACGAACAATTGGGCGCTGATGATTTCAATGAATGAAATGAATGAACGAAACTAATAACACTAAGAACAGAATGGTTTTCATCATGGCAAATCAAACATATAATTAGAAGTACACATTGATATCGACATATTCCAGTGCATATCCGTCTTCGCCATTTATTTCAAAGCAAAAAAGTTTGTTTTCTATAATTTTGCAACTCAGTCATTATTCATTATCTTATCCAACGCAGCTTTTCATAGGCGACTAGATTATTTCTCCTCTAGCCCCTAATAATCTACAGAAAACTCTTTTTTTCGGAGAAATTCCACACCTGGCAAGTCGAAAATTGCCCGCTTGTCCCAAGAATGCCCTTGTGCAAAATTAGACGTAGATGTTTATCCGTTAAAGAGCTTAATCATATTGGTCCGCCATTGTTGTTCTACTGGTAGCCTCTTCGACATCAACGGTGTAAGATCTTAATATTTGTTACTGATTTCTATGAGAAAATACCCATGGTTGATTTTCTGAATTCCGTCTTGGATAGCGAAAGTCTTAGGAATGAATTTCTGGGCTAACCGATAAACACGTGTTGGTTTGTTTTTTGAAAACAATCCGAATCAATTCAGTTATGGCTCGTATTTTCTGGGTTGTTTCGTTCATTCAAAAGTTTAGTTCTGTTGGGTCTACCGGAATCAAATGCACACACATGTAATTTGTATACTAGTCTTACTCACAGAATCAACGATTCTATCTCCTTTACATACTTTTCAAGAAAGCAAATAATCATTTAAATTTCCTAATCTCCTTCATACGTCATGCAGGGACTCGCATCTGGACAACAATGATTCCTCAAGTGGAGGATATATAATTCGAATACGTATAATATTGTAACCCCCCAACGGTTTACCACCTCATCGTGGTTGGGAAGTGTTTCTGGGTGTCGGACTGCGATGTACAGCGAGGGGATTCGTTTCCCCGGCAGGGTCTCTCAAGCTGAGAAGGAGTCCGGCGTTTCCATCAGGAAGCCTAACTAACAGTAAACCAATACCAGGATCCAGCACCGTCCTGGTATCAAAGTCTCATAGTGGTAAATCTCCCTCTGATCCATAAGGGCTGCGACTGCCCGTGGTGGCGAAGACCTAGGGCAGACTTTGGCCAGGCTGACCTCGGGTTTCCATGGAACCACAATGGCTTAACCAGCAAATCTCCGAAAAACGGTAGTTATGCTGGGGTCCGCACAGCCAGTGAGGACGGGCCGTTCAAGTATCAAGTATCGAGTATCAATATTGTATCCCTTTAAAACAATTTAGTTAACTGTCAATTGTCCAATAATTTAAACAAATTGATCAGAGTATCAGTGTGTTAGTGACCGTAGGCGTTGACTCAATGCATAAATGGGTGATGAGAGTGGACTATGTGCACTCATTTCAATGCATTTTCTTTCTCATTGTTTATCTTGTCGCGAGGAGCTTATTATTTATATTTATCTTATTTATACGCTGTGCTTTTGTATCTTATTTATACGCTGTGCTTTTGAATGCAGTTGATAGTTTATCCAACATAGATGTATTGCCAAACTTCATCTATAAAAAATTATTCTGTTCACTTAGCATGCGCGGCGAAGAATTAGGCGTAGTCCCATGCGGTCGCCACACAAAATTTGGTCTGGTCGCAAGTTTTCTACTTAAGGGTTTAACTTTTTTAAAGGGACGAAATAAAAAGAACTCGTAGGAAAGCAGAGACTCAATTTGATTTAACCAAAATTACGGCTTTTACTTTTTTATAACAGTTTTAACCGTAAATACTATTGCGTAAAATGGTAAAATTTGGCCATTTCAAAGCCTTTCGTGAAATGAAATCCGCATTGCCTATAGTTCCTCCTAATTCACACTATGCATATTTTATGAATCCAGCTGATTTTTCCAGATCCATTCGTCTGGTGTTGTGACTTTTAGTCCAAATGCGATCTCCCCGGCAGCGCTGCCGGTCGGTGAGCCGGTACTGGCCGCGTACTGGATGAACACAGAAGGTGCTACAGTATACTACAGAGAAACAGACGGTAGGCCGATTTTCAGTTGACACTGTACCTGTTCTTCAATGGTTACTTTTTATTAGCCTATCCTTTTCGAACACGTCGAAATGAAGTCAACTGAAGCTCAACGTGCACATGAGTGTGTTCTCACAATGTAGTTGTGTCCCATTTATGAAAACTAGTTAGCAGTTTCGAAGAAAACTATTCAAAATAAAATTCCAGAAAATAGTGAAGTGGAGTAAAAATATGTACTTGAAAGAGATTTTTATACCACAGCATTCCTATGGTTGTATTCCACATCGTACCTTGCCGTGAAAAGGGAATAGGCAGTAGGTAAAATTTAGAACATTGTGATTTCTATTGGAGTTTCAGTTTAACTGGGTTTAATGCTGGGGTGTACTCTCCAGATCATTCCCGTTGACGGGTGATTGCTGATAGCAAACAATAGATAGAGCAAAAATATAGCTGAGAGGAAGGCAACGACAATACCTCGGCTGGTACAGTGAGCACGTCAGCGCCCGGTTATGGAAATAACTGATTCGAAGCCCATCTGAGTTAACGCAGTGATGCCGTACATCGCAAGCGCGGTCCTGCTTCAACACCTCTCCAGGCTTACGAAGCCTTTCGTCACCACAGAATCGGGAAATTGGCGGCAGATTTCTGTGGGAACAATTCACTCTCTGCAATCCAAGTGATCCAAGTGGGAACGTTCTAACATGGGTATCCTAGGACCGTAGGGAGAATCCATTCGACAAGCATTCAACGGCATTCATAGAGAAGACGACAATCCTCAAAAAAAAAATTGACACCTCTCTTCAAGGGATCGATGAACACTGTGGGTGATGAATTCGAGGGAAATGTATCTAGTGCAGGTGCTGAGATCTCGCACAGTAGTTGTGATGACGGGTCCTGTAAAACAAAAATGAAAAAAATAACATAACTTCTGTAATGCTGAGATATTTGCAAAACTCCGGACCGCAGGTGTCTGCGGTGGGGAACGAACGCGCTATTGTCCTTTCCGGGGAGTAACGCGTTCACCACTACACCATGCGGGTCCTTCGTTTCGCCTGTCTCAGCTAGTTCTATCGGTCACTTGCCATCAGCAATAACCCTTCAACAGGATTGATCTGGGGAGCCCAAATAGGGATTGAACCCAGTTAAGCTGAGTTTGATGTTGGAAAAATTGAAAGGTAAAAATAAAGCACTCGGCGTCGGTCAACGCCTGAGGGATTCGTCATGCATTCTGCTTCATTAACCATCGTTGGAGGTGACTGAATGCTTATCTGGTTTTTGCAATGACTCGTAGTGACCTATGGATGTATTGAGCTAGTGCTGCTATTCTCCCAGACAAGCCTGGTACCAATTCGCCGGTGCTGGAGAGATGGAAGGCTTGGTGAGCCATGGGCGCGGGGATCGATTCCACGTGTGTGCTGCAGGGCGCCTTCGACCACTGTGCCACACAAGCCCTTTGAAAAAAAAATACCGATGAGAATTTGCGGCAGAGAACATCAACTAGTTTTTTTGTTCTACTCAAAGATAATGCGAAGAATCGTTAGGAATTGTAGGCTCATTTTTACTCTATTCGTAATATTTACGTTTTTTTTTCGTTCTATTGTCTAATGACTTTATGACTGGTAATGGTACTTCTTGTTCTAATATTTGCTAACGTTCAACATACGATTTTTGTGTTCATTTGAGAAGTTTCTACGCAGAGCTTTCATTTCGTTCTCGAACCAACATCGCAACATTGGGGATGAGAAGCGCTGTGAAAACTACGAATCCGGAATTTTTCGTGGATCTCAATAGAAAAATGGTATACTACTATGAAGTACATTTGACTTCTATATGCTTCAGATGCGAACACTTTGAATTTGGCGCACAACGAGGTGAACATACAGTATCGTTACGGTTCCATATTTCGCGTAAAAAGCGTGGTGATCATCACCTGGGATGGTGGCAGGCCAAAGAATTCTGTGAGTTGCAAGAGTGACTACCACAAAAAGCAATCATTTAGTTTAAGTGACTTATATAGGCTCCACTCAATCTTTCTCTCCTTCTCTCCCTCCCTACCTGTTCTTCTTTTTCTGTGTTTATATCAGCCCGTCTGTTCTTCTCTCCTAGCATACGTCTTTCAAACTTTTCTTACTTTTTGACAAAGAAGAATTTTATTGTAGTGAAAGCGTTGTCAAATTCTAATTCAACACATCTACGACCTTGTCGACGTATTTCAGGATTCCGAGGGGAATCTTTTCCAACTGGCGTTGATCATTGGCGATTCGATGACGTTCGCTCATATTGTCTACAGTAAACTCAACTCAAACGATAATGCTGTGGTATTTTATCAGTTTCTACCGAGAATCACATTTAAATACGAGATTACTTTTCGTTTTCTGAGCATTTTGCCGTACAGTATTCTTGAGTAATGCAGTGGCTAGAGATATCCTGGAATACATGCATGTTCCTTTGTTCTGTTACGTGCCTCTGGCTCGACAAACCCACCATCTACTTGGCATAATGGCTGTAAACTAGTTAGAGGAGATGAAAAACACTGACTTAATACATGACCAGACCACTTCAAGTCAGGCCAAATATGCATCCAATCACCAACGATGCTTGATGAAGTCAAATGCATTGTGCATGCGGCAGGCATTGATCAGCGCCCAACGCTTCATATCTTTTTATCGTAAGCCACAGCCATATCGTCCATAGATTAAATATATATTCTATGGTATACTGCTTGAGGTATCGTTACGAACATTCCTGTAGCAATTCGACGATGTCATCAGATGATTTTTGGTTTTTTTTATTTGTGATTAAAGCCTCATTGGTCGGTGGTACCTATCAATATACATTGAATAAGTCTCTGGTTCAATCTCACGTCCTAAGTTCGCCAAGCCATCCATGCCTTTGTGGTCGGCAAATTGATGCTATGCTTATTCTGGGAGGATAGCAGCACTGACTTGATATATCAGTAGGCCACCGCAAGTTATTTTGTAGACCAGGTATGAACTAATACACTTTTACCATGGTTGATGATGTCGAGTTCATGACGATTCCCTCAAGGATTTATCAACGACAATGGCATTTAATCTTTTACTTTTTAAAGATTTCTGATTTTTCAAATTCCTCTTCTTTAGGCAGAGACACTGGGAACGTCTTTTTATACTGCCTTTTAAGTTATAAATTACTCTAAAATGGAATATACAGATAGGTAAGCCTTTAGATTTTCTTTGTGACCGTAGCTTACCGCGCCGTAACTATTGAATTCACGAACCTCACATGTTCTTGAGATATCCAACTGTGCTTTAGCTCGTTTCCAGATTTATGTCACTAGGAATGGTCGTTGAGAGACGTCTTGAGATGGAAAGTTGTTAGCCATCTTACATGTAGGATAAAGTTAGACGACCCATGCAAGGGATTGCAAAAGGTTCTGGAGTTAGTAGTTTCTTCCTGGCTGTAGTTTCGTTTAGACCTGTAGTGGAACATTAGTTCTAGACTATTAGAGATACTCACCTTGCCCATTGTTTGGAATATTTATTTGCCTTTCCTCAAGGAAAGCGTGCCGCCAGTACATAAATCATTTACTCACATTGATTACATCGTAGTGAATCCACAGGATATTACAGTGTTCTTACTAGCTAACCGTGAAGCTGAAATAGGTATGCGCAGAACTAAGTGTTTTTCGTCTGTTTCAGTAGTTTGTGACCGCCTTTGCTCATCCATACTGCTTTGTTCTTTCCGTTGAGTCATACATCGGTAGTTAATTGCCTAAACAAGTATACTTGCTTTGTTTGATGTTCCATCCAGTGGAACTTCGGGAGGAAAGAGAACGAAGTCATTCTTTACAAGCACTGTCATTATTATCATATCCTCAAACATCTTTTTTCCATTGACAAGAAGCGACTAAAACCCGTGATATTAGTGTAATTTCACGTTGTATGCTCCTTACTGTAAAAAGTGAAGGGTAAAGCGCTGAGTTGATAAATCCCTAATAGATGCTCCATGATTTATCGACTCCATTAGGCGTCGTATTGGTGACTTGATGGATATTTAAAAAGGCAGCAATTAATCATTGAACCTATTATTGCATTTAATCAGCACTTTAATCCTCCTAGACTGGTATTGCACCAATTTGGCGACTCCGGAGTGTCGGAGGATTTGGTTATCCCGTGGCACGGCATAGAACCAAATGACCATGTGGCTATTGTACGATGCCTCTACCCACTATGTTATACTCACCCTACTCAGTATATACTTTATAAAATGACTAAATAAATGCACAAATAAATGATACATGTTCTCAATGTTAAGGCTGGATTCGCTTCGCTAAACTCATCGTATTCATTGCCCGACTCGGCTACTCATGATGCGATGCTCTTATCAGAGAAGAGTGATATCGGTATACCGGGTGAATGGCTCTTTAGGATCGACGGCCTTAAAGTGAGGATTTTTATCTCAAGAGTGACGTGGACTAATAACGGATGCCAAAAATCTAAATCACATATATTCTCTTTTTCTTTAGAAGTAGCGAAGTGAATAGAAATACGTTCAAATTTGAAGTTGTAAATTTTCAATTCGTCGAAATGAATGTGGATTCGGATTCAGCTTGTCGTTTCCACTTTTATTGTAGTAATGAGTTCATGTGACTAACGTTTAAGATGGGAACGTTGGTCACCGTTTTGGAGGTGTCACTCGAAGTCACCTTGATTGTTTGAAGATGCACCCCAATCTCCTGCTTTTCCACTAGCCGTCTCCTCGTTTCATAATATAGTTGGCCCATTAATGTTTATATTTTGAGAAGTATCTCAACGGAATGCTGAGCGGGGAGTATCCTTTAGAGATCTATACTACAAAAACCGGTTTTGTGTTGAGTGTACTGGTTCATCTTCAGAAGACAATGTTTAAGTGGCCGTCTCTCCAGGCAAGGTTTTTGATGTAGTTGAAGTATTAACTTATGTTTCTTCGCTCATCACACAGAAGCCAAGGAACTGTTGCCTCAAATAAATGAACACGTTGATCGGAGCTTCAAATTAGTCAGAGGCTCCGCTAGAGGCTCAACCTTGGCCTACAATCGGTGTTCTTTACCCAAGTCTTTCTATGTCCAATGAATCTGCCAGGCATACATAGAAAGTGGTGTTCTGAATCAGTGATCCATTCATAATAAATCGTTTCTCTTCAAATCAGGTGTTTTTCATGAATTGTGTTTTTCTTTCGATTAGTCTGTAGGTAGACTTATCTTTTTCTTTCTCCCATTGAGACTGGAGAACACTATTTACGTTTCTACGGGACATTTCGAAAATGTGAAAACGAAGGTTACGAAGGAAATCGTTCACCAACACGTATCCCTTTCTCGTCCCAAGAGAGTAACTGCAGTGCGCCTATAAACAGGTTTAGGGATATTGCTTCCCTTCCTTTATTCATTTATAAATTAGAACAGTGATAGTGGACAGTCATCTTGTCGATAATGGAGCTGCATTGTTGTAGTATGGGAACTTCGCAACAGAAAAACATTTTTGTGGAGGGCGCTTCTCTACCGCTGACAACAACGACAGATGGAATGGTTTCCTATCGGCATCGTTGACTACTTTCTCGCGTATAAGGTTAAGACACATAGCATAGACAGTATTTTTGGTATACTGAGATCCTGTTTGTATGCAGTATATGTAGTCCAACTTTTGCGAAATACAGCTTACATTATGACGTATGTTGCAAGTAGAGCAAATGGATGATGGTGAGTAGGTAGAAGATTAGATAGGACGGAGTATGGTTTTGTTAGGCAGCTGTGTCAGGCTGCGAGTTTTTAACTGGTGCTCAGTTTTCTGCGATAGAGAGCTTTGGTGCTGCTGTTTTAGTAAGGGCGGCAGGGTTCAGTACAGCTATTGGATTTGTGTAAAATACTTCCGTCACTAATTCTCACAAAATGTAGATTGCCTTTCTTTCTCAAGCAGAGTACACATAGGAATGTTCTGCTTGTATTCGAAGACGTTTCTTCATGACCTTCGTTTTTTGTGCTTCCTCTAGAGTTTACGCCGTCTGCACCAATGAAATCATTCGCTTCTCCCATTCTTCAAGTAGCCTTGGTAATCATTTATTCGATATGGGCAGCAAGATCTTGTTTAAGTACCTTCTGTTTTTAAAAAACTCTTTAATCTTTTATGAAATGCTGAGATATTTGCAAAACTCCGGACCACAGGTGTATGCAGTGGATAACGAACACGCGCTGTTGTCCTTACCGGGGAGCAGCGCACTTCACCACTACACCATCCGGGTCCTTCGCTTTGCGTGTATCTCAGCTACTTCTATCGATCTTTTTTCGATCTCTTTAATCTTTTTTGATGAAACCTCAAACTCGTCTTTTGGCTGTGAAAGCCTTTCCACTTACAAATTCGGAGATGTTTCAGCAACATGTAGTAGTCTTCTATTGTTTCCCTTCTTTTACGCCAGTCACAGTAGGATAATAGATTGCTGAGTGGACTCGTCGTACACGGCTTCTTTTCTTTCTTTTTCAAGTTAGCTGGATTTACCTTCTATCTTAGGTCAATGTGAATTTTCGCACAAGGATCTGATCCAGTGTAAAAAGATAGGTCTATGACGACGACGAGTGGACTCCAAGAAAGAAGAATTAACAAGAATGTGGTCGGCTTCAATATAAACCATATTCTTTGGGGATTCCTAATCAGTTATAAACGAGTTCTTCAAGATCTTCATAAAACATGTTGAGTTTCCACTCCTTAGTCACTGACGTTGTTCAGTAATAGGTGATAATATCTACTTCCCCGATAAGTAATTGTAAGGCAGGAATGTGCTGTGACCGAATTTCGTGAAAACCTACGAGAAGCCAGTGCTGCCAACATTAAGCACTGAAGTCTTTTCACCTAAAACGGCAACGATTTCATCATTTATCTTTCATTGGTGATATGCTCTTTGTTTTCTGTTCCTAGGATCACGACGGATATGTGAGCCGTAGTGTTTAAACGGATATAAACATCATGTTTTGAAAAGAGTAGATCGAATTCCACCCCGTAACAGATTTGCTGCCTTGTGCCTACGGTTACAATACGATCCTACTGTAATATCTACTATCGACTATCCGATCCTGGTTCCTACAATTACTGTAATAGAATGGAATCGTATTATTTGTTTACACCCACCTCTCGGTGTCTATTAAGCAAACCAATTCCGCATTACTAGTTACTAATTACAAATATCAGTCAGTAACGCTCGACATATGAGGGTTTTTAATTCGTTTCCTACGCAACGACGTTGACGCAAACATCTTCTAAAATAAACGCCTCTATGTTATTTATGACAACTTGTTTTTAATTTCAGGTCTATCTTTGTGGGGCCGGCTTCAAGGGAATTGAATGTATCGACAGTTGTGCTCCGTCTCAGTGGTTTAACGACTGCTCAAGAAAGTAGGGTACTTTATTTGGAGAGTTTTCCTAAAATATTTTCTACCTTTATTCTTTTTTCTTTGTTATTTTGGGGAATGTCTCTAAGAGCTATTTCATGCGTTGTAGCCTTAATCCGTAGGACTTTTCGAAATTGAATGGATTGTGTGTTTTAAAAATATTTGGTGAAATGGAAGTATTCAAAATAGAAGAATAAAAGGAATAGCGAGGATGAAGGGAAAAGTCATTCATCTTTATACTTATTTTTTCTTTTTTTACAACTATTCATTCATGTTCAGCTGTCACTGTGATGGTGGTGATCCATGCGACCAAGAGACGGGTCGTTGTCCAAATGGTAGATGCTCACCTGGTTGGAAAGGCGCACCAATTTGCGACGAAGGTTTTTCTTTGCAAAGCTTTTTCTAAACATTCCACATGTTGTTATTAGACATACGAGGAAATTTTAAATGCTTATTATAACTCGTTCAAATGGACGAGAAGCGATAAGAGAAATATCTTTTAATATTGCTTTTTACACTTTTTTTGAGCTCAGATGTGGACGAGTGTGAACTGGAAGACGTGTGTCCGTTATCCCAGCCGGACTGTATGAATACACCCGGCTCATACCTATGCATTTGTTTCGAGTATGACGAGCAAAATGACCGATGTAAAGGTTAGACATCTAACAAACGTCGTCGTTAGAGCAGAAAAAATTGGCTGGGAAAGAGAGAGAGAGAGAGGGAAAAGGAAAGTGACAATAATGAGCAGGGAGCGAGACTGTACGTCGTATCACTCGTGATTCATCTGTGTGTGCTGTTGCACGAATGCAAATTGTTTCGCTCTTTTCTTTTCTGTAATAGGGTGGTTTAGTACTGAAGCTGAGAAGTAGAGAAGGCGTGACATCTTGTAAGAGAGAGACAATGTATAAAATTCTCCTAGAGATTTTCAACATTTCCCATACTTTTTACTGTAGAGAATCTCAACAGAAAATTTGATAAGTGGTTACAATATGTCGGAGGCGGACTTTGCTTTATATACATGAAACAAGGAATTTTCTTTAACAAAATTTCTTCAGGTGTGGGAACTTGGGAAATGACAAATTGTAGGATTCATCATTTTATCATAACTAAGAGCACTAAGTCAAAGCTTTTTGAAGTGTTTCTAGAAAATCTGGAACCGTAGGACGAGTCTGATAAAAATCTCGGAAACTTGCCAGCAAAAGGACTTTATGCTCGGATTGCTTTATGCTACATTGAAACCACTAACAATCCGTCCAACTCATCGTATTGCTAGCGCAGACCAGAAAATACTCGGCAACGAAAACCAATGGTTTCTTACTTGGCTACGAATGACGTATTGTCATCTTGATACATTTAATTCTGGAAACATCTTGACGGATGGAGACCAGTCGGTTACATTAATAATTACTTTTTCGATGTTCATTGCAATTGATCATTTTATCTCATTAACTTCCTGGATGGCGCAGCGGTAGGAGGCGCCCTGCAACACACGCGTGGAATTGATCTCCACGCCCATAGCCCCCTAGCCTTCAATCCCTCCTGGGTCGGCAAATTAGTACCAGACTTGTCTGGGAGGACAGCCGCACTGGCTCGATACATCGATAGGCCACTGTAAGTTATTGTAAAGGTCAGATATGCATTCAATCACCTTCAACGATGCTTAATGAAGTGGAATGCATGGCGCATCCCTCAGGGATTGATCAACGCCGAGAGCTTTATCCTTTTAACTTCTTGGATTATTATTCTAACAGGATGTTGATATTATAAGGCGATTTATTCGGCCGTTGTTTCGGCGTCATCGTCTTCTTCAGAGCCGATGACCCGAGTTGGTGGTCAACAATCGTTCGTCCTCTCGATCTGCGTTTCGAGTCTAATTTTCTTCATTGGAGCACCGCTCGAATGAAGCAACCTTATTCGGTAGCGCTCTTTTATACAGAGCGGCTGATGACCATAATGATTATTCGTTGAAAACAATTTGTTTTCCAACGGATAACCCATTCTGCAGCAGTCAGTAATACATTGGCAAGCACATAGTGAATCAATATTTTTCAAACCGACTGTTATTCAACCTCGGCATTAATAATCAATACCTTCTTGGATTATTAGCTAAGTGAGTTGCCGGGTGAGTTTATCGCATTCTAGCGGTGCCCCACTGAAGAATATTCTACTTGATACAACGGCGAGGACCGCTTGAAGATTACGAGCGACTGTGAGCCATCGACTCGGATCATCAGCTCTGAAGAAGACGAAGACGTCGACACGTTGGCCGAATAAACTTTTTTGTCAATCTCGTGTTAGCTTAATAATCAAATAAGGTATTGAATATGCCGAGGTTAAATGGCACTCGGCTTAAAACAAAGTGTTTCTCACTGTTCAGCAAAAATGAAGCTTCTCTGTTGTCTGTCTGCTCTGTCTATTAAAAAATCAGTGTTAAAAACCGTTCTGAGAGGTAATTTTTAATCTTTCATTCCACAGCGTGCAAAATTTGTTCCGATGGTGAGGACTACGCGTGAAAGGACTTTGTTAGCTTCTTGTTTTTTCTAGCGCTTTTATTTTCTTTAATGGTAGAAACATTCATGTATGAAGGTTCACCATTGCCAACAACATCTGATGAGAAAATTCCCGTCAAAGTGGTTCCACTGCAACCGTCGTTTGGAGAACGGAAGACCCCTTCAACAAAGCCATTTGTTAGCAGAAACCGATTCGCATCCACTACATCTAGCACTAGAAGGAGGACACCGACCACTGTAAGAGAAAAGCTTAAGGAATGGTGTGTTATCTTGGATGATGTCATCTATTACAGACAATGTTCATTACCACTACTATGAGAAGCACGACAACGACCACCTCCACCACCACCAGCAGAAGTGCCATCACCACCACCACCAGTACTACACAAACACCCATCACTGCCAAAGTGATCGATTTTAAACCACTAAAATTCAAACCGGTGAGTGGTCGATCTGAGCTTTCGTAATTGATTCAGAAAAATTCTCGAATGAGAAACTTTGTAGGGAAATTTTATTCTCGTTTCGTGATGAACGACCAAATCGCTTTTTACCATTTCGGTTAAGCCATTGTTTTTGGCAGTTTACACTTTGTTTTTGCAGATATGTGAGCGCATAAATGTATGAAAAAGAAAGTCACTTTAGTTAAATGACCTAAATCAAGTGTTAAATGTTTAAGAGCATACGTGCTGTCCCATGTGCTTTCATAACAATAAGAGTTATTGTTAATTTACATGTATTTTTATTGTACTACTCTTTATCGCAGTTTGTAGTGATACAAAGTAGAATTGTTCTATTTTAAGCCCTCTACCACTTGTCCACCTTGCGACATTCACGCCACTTGCCGTGATGGAAAATGTGAATGTCACGCCGGATGGAGATCCTATAAGAATATGTAAGTAAATTCTATCAACTGAGTAGAAAATAGGGTTGCGTTTCAAGAAGAAAGGGCTGAGTATAAAGACTTGAGAAGAATTGTGTTCTCCAGATGTTTTTTGGAATTATATCTTCCTTGCGTGAAAAATCTCGAGTTGGTTTGCCGTTAACACTTTCGTGTAGAAACAGGTTTTTCGATAATTGATTACAATTTCTGGGCCAGCAAAGTAATTCAGAAATTTAGTGCCTTATGGAAAAGACTCAGCTCTTTCACATTAGAAGCAAGTATAGTTTTTATGAGCTACTCTGTGAGATTTAAATAAATTTGGGGTTAAAACTTTCAGAAAACTGATGCCGAGGTTTATGTTTTAAAAATTTTCAACGTAAGAGCGGGTGTTGAAGGGCGCGTGTGAAGCAGTGGTCGGAGTCGCCGTGCAACACAAACGTGGAATCGATCTTCGCACCCATGGCCCACCAAGCCTTCCATCCCTCTGGGGTCTGCAAATTGGTAGCAGACTTGTCTGGAAGCACAGCAGCACTGATTCGATATATCGGTAGACCACCGCGAGTTATTGTAAAGGCTAAATATGCATCCAGTCACCCCCAACGGTGCTTAATGAAATAGAATGCATGGCGAATCCCTCAGGGATTGATCAACGTCGAGAGCTTTATCCTTTTATCCTTTTAAGAGCGGCTGTTGGAAATGTAAGCGATGAATCGGGAATACTATTTGGACCTGCTGGTCGAAATATTTTTTGTTCATACTTGTTCATTTGTTTTTCTTTTTGAGTATGATTATTGGAAAAAATTTTTGAATATTATCCTTGAAGCGGGGAGAAATTTTACGAATTTTGAAAGTTTAAATAAAATTCGCTATAAGCTGAGATATTTTTTTATTTTATTTGGTCCGTCTTCACTCTTCCAAGTTTCCAAGTGTGGCTTTGGTTACTACTTGAGGATTTTAATTTCATCTTGAATGTCGTAGAATGCTGGTCGAACAATTCTTCCTCGGTTCGAAATAGCCAGGCCGCAGCGTTCCCAATTGGATTTCAGAGAGTGATTTTTTTCCCAGAGAAGTCCGGCACCAATTTCTCGACCCTGGAGGGATGAGAGGCTTGGTTGACCCGGAGCGGAATCGATCTAGCACCATTCTCATGATGACGGACGTTACTACTAGTGTGCTATCCTCCCCAAGCTGAGATATGTTGATTTAAAATTTGAGGCTGCCACAATTTTCGCATCGCGTGCCTACCGAAGAGGTCACCTCGTCGCGTAAGTGTTAATATACTTATCGCGGTCCCAGTTAGAAAGCAAGTGATTATACAGAGACCAGAAGCAACCGTAAACTTCCCTCGATGGATTCAGCGGGTGAAAACTGTGAGGCGTTAGTGGATTTAAGAGATGAACTCCTTCACTTTTCTATATCCGAGGTTTATACCTTGCGTGTTCAAGTAATCATAATCATGTATAATTGCGTGGATGTCCATATTTAGACGCTGATTGTGTTATATCTATCAGTTTATCCGGAAGTCGGTAATGATGATATTGCGAGGTGCGTCGGAGGTTGTCCAGATGGCCTTAAAAAAGTTCATGCTTCTTGTCCACTGCGAGAGAACTGCATATACATAGGTGTAGTAGTCATGGCGAAGCTCCGCAAGTTAGTTATGGTTATCATATTTCAAAGAACAGTAAAGATAGAAGCTCACATACGGGAAGATCGATGCTTTTTGTGTCTACTTAGCAAGATGGCCCCTCTAGGTAGCTCTCGATTGTGACAGGGACCAGTAGAGACTTCTCTAGTGTCCATTCTAGTCATTTGGTGGGTAACGCAAATATAAATGGTATAAGTGATGTATTCCGTTGAGATGAGAGAAAATCTATGATTCAGATGCGGTCGAATAGATGAGTTAAACGCCCTTAGTACTTTTTATACTTTCTGGTTTCACTTTTCTTTAAAAGCAAGCATTAGACTTGACATTTGATTAGGTCCATATCTGTTTGACACATGACGCTATCGTCGATATTAATTTCAAATACGACTCGAGTAGTTAATATTTCCAAATTTCCAAATCATTGAAAATGTGATGTCACCATTTACTAACATGTTGCAGTTGTGTTGACATTGATGAATGTGCCGAGAGTGCAGTTTGCGGTGCTAATTCTCAATGTGTGAATCGACCAGGAAGTTATGACTGTGTTTGCGACATCGGTTACCGATTCGTCGACGATACCTGCCTTGGTCGGTTAAGGCAATTTTTCACACGACAGTTTTTTCGCTCAGGGGTCAGGGTCTTAGCCTTTGTAAAGCAATTGGTTTCTGTTTGGTTCTCCCAAAACTAAGGCAATTTTATTCGAATACCTAATCGAATCAAATCGTACATTTGGGAGTCCAGCACCAAGAATTATTACAGAAGACTTTTCAGGCTATCTTTGACTGAAATCTTTGCTATTAACTTGTCAACTAGCTGAGAAATTTCAGATATTGACGAGTGTCAAGAAGATGCCATGTGCGGCGAAGGGCAAGGTGTGGAGTGCTTCAATCGCCCCGGCTCGTACGAGTGCAAATGTAAAGACGGGTTCAGTGGTGATCCACGAAAGGGATGTTCTGGTCGGTAAATATTCGTTCTTTATAATATTATGATAGTTCATTAATGCTTTGTTGACTTTTGCTCACTATTTCAACTGGTCGACGGCGCATCAGGGCGGACTAGCGGATGCCGCTTTTGTGAATGAGGATGGGACGTTCATCACATCCCAACATGATGTGGTATTGATAACGGGAAAGCTTTATGCCAATATTTTCCGTTCCACAGTTTTCATCTCGGATCCCGAAATCTCTATTGAATAAAATCGTCTGGGATTCTTTTCTCTGAAGTTCGAACTGCTACAGGAATCATGAAGAGAGGGAAAGCTCCAAGATATCACTACCTCCTTCGTTCGAACCTAGGGTCACAACCTGGTTACATGTACTTCTCGCCACCCACTTACCTTCAAAAAGAGAGAATCGCAGACCAGTGGAGGACGTCAAGCACGGTCATCCTGCCTAAAAAGATGACCGAAGAGATCTTCGTAACTGTCGTCCGATACTTCCTTTGATTACTGTGCCATAAAGAGATTGATAAAAAAAGATTTATTCGGCTAACTACTAGTGTGCTATCCTCCCCAAGCTGAGATATGTTGATTTAAAATTTGAGGCTGCCACTATTTCCACAGTTCTTCAGAGCCGGATTGATCCGAGTCGATGGTATACAGATGGTACCATCCACGATGTGGTTCTTCGTTATTGCATCGAGTCGGATCTAATGAAGTTGAGCACCAAATATGCAGATCATATTGAATGGCGGCAGTAGATCAACCCCTGTCCTTTGTCCTGTAGGCACCGTCGAATGAAATTTTTCATTCAAGCCCTTGAACGATCTCTCTTGAGATTTAACCGAGACTCCATCGTTTAGCCGGAATCCGCAACTGAGATCTTGAAAACCCATCCCATCTTCGGGTTCTAGGCGAACATACATGGATAGCGAAGCACAGTTGAGCCGCACATAATACTAAGAGGTGGCAGGGTGACGAATAGAACAGTGGAGTGAACTTCAAGCGTTCTCTTCGAAGACCACTCAAACGATGGGGGTCGTGTTCATGATGGTGAACGTCAACTATCTCCACTGGCAGATGGCAACGATTTCAGAATTACGGATTGGGTCTCACAGACATCACCATATTCGGCTCAGACCACCTCCATGGACGACGCTGCTGCGAGAGAGAAACGAATGATGGTTATGTTGAGGCTCGCATTACCAGCTAAGATAGGGCATACAAATGTTCAAGTAGTAATTTTTAGCTGGGTGGCTGGGCAACTCCATTGCGGCATCATACCGTGTGATTAGAAGTTTCTCTTTTGTTGTCATAGAAATAGAGTGAATTTAATCAGATACACACAGACAGCTGTACACAGTAACACACATAATTTCAAAAATTCACACGTCCATACATATATCAGTGATTACCAATGGACGAAGTGTTTTGTTCTTACGAATTGTAGCTGGGAAACTAATGAGAAATTCACTGGTTTTCCCGATGAGCAAACACGAGGTTGCTATCGCAGCATTGATCCATTCACAATAGCTGATGTTTTGGCAGTTTCGCCTTCTTCGTGGTCTGGAAAGGTTAAGTTGACCCGCAATCTATTCTGCTAAACACTTTCATAACCTCAGCAGATAAAACCTAATACATAAGTTTTAACTTATTATTTACTGCCTACTCTTTTTAATGGCGGGGTATATATTGCGAAGTATAACTTCAATGAAGCTGCCACACCATGCGGATACTTCGTTTCGCCTGTCTCTCAAATAGTTCTATCGGTCTTTTGCCATCAGCAATCACCCGTTAGCGGGATTGATCTATGGAACCCAAATCGGCAACTAACCCAGTTAAGCTGATGCTGTACTTATAATCACAATTTTAACTTATTATTTACTGCCTATTCCTTTTAATAGCAGGGTATATATTGCGAAATGCAGCTTCAACGAAGCTGAGATATTGGCAAAACTCCGGACCGCAATATCTGCGATGGGGAACGAACGCGCTATTGTCCTTTCCGGAGGGTAACGCATTCACCACCACAACATGCTGGTCCTTCGTTTCGCCTGTCTCTCATTAATACATAAATTCACATTTGCAATAATGATTTGCACCATAAATAGCTTCTTTTAAACATTAACCGCCTTGTAATTTACAAGCATTCCACTTTTCTGGTGGAGACCGGCTGCACAATCTCTTACAAGAGTACAAGAATATGCCTAACTCAGGTCAAAATATGGTGCGAATCGCACATGGTCAAAAAACTGCTCCTTGCGATTCGTTTTGGGTTTTTCGAATTCATCCAGAACGCTTCATGGGTTTCACGCGCTGATGTTTTGAATTCCCGTGCGGGTATTATGACTTTTACTTCAAAATCCTCTCCGTTATGTCTGTGTCCTATGCGTGACTAGTGGAGTGCTTGGTTTGGATTGAAATTTACTGACTAAATTTAAGTTTAGCTACCAGACGACCTTTTATGCAGACGAAGAGTGGTCTACCCGTTTCCTTAATGTAGTAATCCCCACGCGCTTTACAAGAGATTAGATAAACTATACCCAAACTGCTCCTGTCTCGACTGTTGGGGTATATTATGCAATTTTGCGTTATACATGGACGGTCGTATAAGCGGTTACGTCTGTCTCTGTCACTCAATCACTGCCTCTACCGTTGAGGCATATTATGCAGTTTTGCGTTGTACATAAACGGTCGTACAGGTGGTTGCGAACTAACTGACGTCTCAGAGCTCGTCTTTCTAGATTGGTGATGTTTCAGCTATTATTTATTAGAAACGAAGGACCAGATAAACGGGACCTTATTCTTGCTAGAGTTGTCGCTTGAGGGCGTCCTTTCTTCTCCACACCAGTCGCGAGGAGCTACAATAGTTTCGTAGCCATTGGAAATTGCTATTTGCCTTGCCAGTTTCACGGATTCTTTGTTAATTTTTTTTTGGGCGTACACCGAGGGCTGCTCAAAACATACTTATCACAAGCGCCCTATTTCTATGTGAGGGTGAGTGCAGAAGTAATGAACCAGTATATTTTTGCTACTTAACTTTCCGTACCACTTGGTGGAGTAGGTGTTTTCAGATAGGTTGGTTTGGACCTTCAGAAATGGAGGCTAATTTTCGTTCGGTTTGTCTTGGATGAATGTTATGTGCTCTGAGTGTTCAATTGACAACTCGAAACATTCTTCCATCTTCTCTTATGTGGAGCAAAGAACAAAACAATCGTCTATGTATCTGCATTACAGTAGCAGTAGCAGGAGATCGGTTACTAGTTCTTCCATCTTAGACATGAATGCAATGGCAAAGCATGGTGCTGGCGCTGTCCCATTTCCAACTCTCTCATTTGTGCGAAATACCTCCCTGATCATTTAAAGATTGAGCAGTTCAGGTGCTGCGTTAAGAGGGTCATGAGCTACTTAACTGAGAAGCCATACATGTGTTCATTGCCCCTTCGTATGGCATAAGGAGCTCCTTGATGACTTTCATAGCGGAGTCATTCAACAAGTTAGTATAGTAGACAGAAACGGAAAAGGACTTCATCATATAGCTGCTGTTAGGATGCGCGTTACCTAGATGGTCTTGAAACAGACGATCTCAGGCAGATTTCTTGAATTGAGCCAGGTACATTCTCACCCATGTAACACTCTATGCGGCTAGTCTCCATCAAACAACTGGAAGACTGACGAAGAGCAAAGGGGTGAGTGTTTCAAAGAAGCTGTTTGTTACGCGAATGAAAACTGATGTGTTCAGTTCTATCTGCTGAGGTTGTGAAAGTGTTTGGCTGAATAGATTACGTGCCAAATTGTCACTCCCAGGGTCTCAAGAAGGCGACCTTAACATCGGCTATCGCGAATTAATAAACGCTGTAATGAATAACAGCCTTGTGTGTGCTCATTAAGAAAACAATGAAGTATTGGTAAATGCCGAGTTTAAAAGAAACTGTGTCCTGGAATTTGCTGTGTTGTGCGAAGTTGTTAGCCCATGTTTTCATCCCCAATGGCTATCATTTCGGCAAATTTGTCTTCTTTAGGATTTCACAGAGACGTATTTTTATGTATTCAGTGAACATTCGACAATTTCAATGGAATGCAAATACACCAACATCAGTCTGTCAAAAAACACGATTTTTCCGTTGTTTCCACTTTCTCTAGAGAGCCAGCAGCATGTAAAATGATAATATTATATTATAACGGAATCATACCATCTATGTGTAAATCGTTTTACGTCTATAAAAATCACATTTTTCAGATGTGGACGAGTGCTCGTCAGGCCTAGAGTACTGTGGACAGCACACAAAATGCATAAATACGGTATTCGCTTTATCTCATAGTTGGATCGTAGTTGTCGTAAGTGCTCGAAAGAAGTTAAAGTAGCGCTTCCCTTAAAATGCTGCTTGGTTTTTGAGATTTGATGCTGTTTATTTTTTGCGATTATTGGCATAAATTCACTACATAATACTTCTTATTTTATTTTTTCGTACGAATTAGGCTGTATGCTGGACTGGCTCAGTACGTGTTCGATGCAGTGCCTATGCGCGTACTCAAGAGCATTTCTACCAGTGGGCTAACCGCGCTGCATCTCAAGCATAACGAAGTTATTTCTCTATGAGATAGATGAGATAAAATTTGTGCCAAGAAACTTCAAATTTTTGCATTTTCTTCTTTTTTCAATCAAAAAAAGGCGTTATCAGTAAATGCACTTGATGAGCTATCTATTACAAACGAAGTGTTTTCAATGAAGGTTTTTTACATGACCAAATATGAAGGCGAAAATGGGAGTACGAATTATACCCGTGTAAAAGAATAACGGGATAAATACTTCTATTTAACTGTTAGCACTCGAAGTCGGTTTTTCAAGAATGGCGATAATTTACCAATCACTCGAGTATTCGAGAGATTAAGAATCTTATAGATCTTTGGAGGAAACTTTGCTTTATCGCTCTAAAGGACGACCACAGCGAGATAGTGAGTAGTTTTTTTTTCTTTTGCGCTTCTTTTGAGGTTGATTTTACAGATTGGCGGCTATGAGTGCGAATGCCTGGCTGGTTTTGAGCGAATCGCTGAGGATGCGGGATGCACGGATATTGACGAGTGCTTCCTCTCGTTGTGTCATCCAGCCGCCACTTGTGCGAATCTTGTCGGATCGTTCTCTTGTACGTGCCCAGACGGATTCGTCGGCGACGGAATGCAATGTCATGGTGCGTAGATGTGAACGAAATCTCACGACAACATTGTAACGCTTCTTGCAGTGATATTTATTGAATGTTCTGTTTCTAGAAACGATTCTGTATCCGATTGCGAACGATTCCATAGTGATACCGAGAAAAGCGGATGCGATAGCGAAAATCGACTTGCCATCACCAGTATTTGTGTTCGGAAAGCCATACAATACTGTTTATGTGAGTTTTTTTTTCAAAAGTTACGGATAAGGATAAAAGGAGAGTTAAACCTATGACGGCGTTTTCTCTGTGAAAGAGATATGGCGTCATGTTGGTATTCCTGATAGACTCACTTCCGCCTCCCGTGGTATATTCACCAGGATTACTAGTGTTTTCTGCTATGCGTATTGTACAGCGAATAATCTGTTTACCAAAACATGCCACCGAGCACTCTAGGACGCCAGCTATTCTACAACCTTCTCTATGGCCGTCTATGCACACCGCAAAATTGTATAATTTGTCCCAACGGTAGAGAGGATGATTTCATGAGTTTGGGTATGGTTTATCTGATCCCTTGTAAAACGTACGGGGACGAATACACTAGTGAAATGGATAGATCACTCTTCTTCCTTATAGAAGAAAGCCTAGTTGGTAAACTTAAAGTTAACGCAAATACTCCTCTAGGCAGGCATAGGACACAGAGGCATCATGGGGAGGAATTTGGAACAGAAGTAACCATTCTTGCATAGGAGTCGAAAACTTCACCGTGCAAAATTCTCGAAGCATACTGGATAAATCCGAAGGATCCGAAAATGAACCACAGAGAGGAATCCCTCACTATCACGCATGTTCTCACACAGTATCTAAGTCTGGTGTTCCAATGTGGTAGAGGCACATTACTCTCCCATGTTAACTCTGTGCGGTTGGTCTCCACGTGAAATACTCAGTGGAAGTCTCATAGAATGCGGCAATTGTGCGAGGAGGCTATTTTGTTTTCAGTGCTATTGTAATCATGGTTTAGTATTTTTTCTTTGTTATAGAGGTATTTGACCGGATAGATTGCAGTCAGCTTGTCCTCTGCAGGCTCTGAACAAAGCGAAATCCTCCGAAACGTCAGCTTTACCGTAAATGAAGAATAAATTAAAATTTCATGTGTGCTCATACATAGTGAATTAGATAAATGCCGATGTTAATAGAAAGTCGACTTTAGGGATTTCTCATATTTTAATGTGAGATAGGCATAGTACCACCATCTGAACTCTACCGTTTGCTCTCCACTTGAAATGCTCACTGGAAAACTCATAGAACGCAGTGAGTGCGAATGAACTGTTTTGTTTTCAATGCGATGGGAATCCTTGTTTCGTTTTCTTCTGTTTTCGTTATGAAGCGGTTTGGCTGGATATATTTCAGCTTGGCCTTACCAGGATCTGGAGAACGCGAAATTTGCCAGAGCTTTTCTACGTGTGAAGAGTAAAATAGCAACCTCTTATTTGCTCATCAAGAAGTTAGTGAATTTTCTATCAATACCGAAATCAATAGGAAGTTCGTCTTGGACAAAAAGCAGTCGAATCATCGAGTCAAACCGAATGGAGTGGGACAGTGCACGAATGAAAGAGCACCATCAGACAGTTTCCCGGAAGCCAACTAAAGAAAAAATCTTAGGAGCTAGCTTTCGATTTGAAGTGGCGTTTCCTTCATGGGGACGGCGATTTCCGGTTTCTTAGCCGTAATTAAAAATGCGAATGTCAAATTCATTCTAAAGTTCGGACGGTCTTTCTTGTGGAATAGACTCCTTGCTGCGCATTGTAGTTCGACATTGAATATCACCACCTTCACTTTGTTCGACATGTTGAAGGCGTAAATCCTTGAGAGGAAATCATTGAATTATTTGGTGCATTAATGGCCTATTTTCGCGAAGAATCATGCGTTTGAGTGTAATTTCAGCTTGTTTTAAAATTTAAATTTGACTGGTAATTTCCTGGCTGGACAGGATTTTCTCTGTTCAGAAGTTTTCGATATTCATACTAAAGCTTTCTCAAGTCGCAACCATAGGTAGTCGTCGTACATTTTGGATTGAGTACAAAATTTCCTTCACCTTGAAACTTAGCTGCTAACAGAATGTCGCGAGGAAAACGTTGTAGCGGCGATGAGATGTGAAGCAGTCGTTTTAATGATTAAAATAAGTTCATGAGGTTCACTAGAATTGATAAAGAGACGAATTTCAGGTATCGTCTAATGGCGTGCTCTCATTCGATCGTCCACTACCTGGTTTGATCGAAAACGCGGAATCAGTTCACGAAGCGGCCGTTTTTGCACTGCACGCGCAGTACGATTATGTGAGGGAAGGCCTCGTCGCTTATACCTGTATAACTGGTACGGAAGAAATTAAGTCTGCATTATTAAAATACTTTGAGCAGGTTACGATTATTTAGAATATTATATTTTCTAACTAGGGGGCGGACAGCGCAGTGGTAGTGATGTCCCTCATCACGAGCATGGTGCTAGGTCGATTCCGCTCAGGGCCAACCAAGCCTCTCGTCTCTCCGAGGTCGGGAAATTGGTACCGAACTTGTCTGGGAAAAAATCGTTTTCTGCAATCCAATTGGGAATTCTCCAGCCCGGCCCGGCTATCTCAGGACTCCAGAGAGAATAGCTCGACCAGCATTCTACGACATTGAAGATGAAATGAAAATCCTCAAGCAGCAACCGAAGTCACACGTATAAACTTGGAAGACCTTCTGGACGATGGTTGTGAGGAAATGAATTGGATGTGTGAGAAGTGCTGGGATCCGCACGGTAGACGTGAGGACGGATCAAATAAAATAAGTAAATGATTAAATGAATAGATTTCAAGGCGACCAGTTTATTATTTTCAGTTGCAGATTTGTTAACTCCTTAATGGAGGTTTCACCATAGAGTAGTTTACTGCTGAAGCTTTTCAGCTAGTGTATTGAAGAAAATACAGTGTGAAAGTAAATCATTTGACTTTTCTTTAATCTTCAGTCCTTCCATGTTTGTTTATTTTTCACGAGTTCACTTATTTGATCAGCGACTGTTTTCTTTGAGGCCACATAGAGTAAAACTAGTCGTCGTGTAAATTTCTGACGAAATCACAATTTAAAAACAACTTTTAAAGAGCTCCATTCTATTTGTAAGTGGCTATAGAGGGTCCCATTACCCCACTACTACGCTGGACTGCGGTCTTTCACAAGAAGTTTCTTACTTCAGTAGAGCCTCCAACCTCTTTTCTTGGAAAAGTTTCTACATGGCCACAACTTTGGAACTCCCGTTTGCTCAAGCGGCTTATACTCTTCTTCAGCTAGTCGTTTTCTTTTTCCTTACCTCTTCAGTTCTGCGTAGTTTGTTACCACTCTTTTTCTCCTTAATCTATTATTCTTCTAGAATCGGATGTTTCTGCATATTCGTTGCTAAGCCGATCTTCAATCAGCGTTCAAAACAACTTCAAAATCCCGACATTCCGTACAAAAACACTCCATCTCTTCACATTCGATCGTATGAGACAGGCCGGAAGCGAAAATGTCAGTTACCCAGAATAGATACTTTAGTATATTTTTTAGTTAAGCGCTTGTTTGGTTGTTCTCTTGGATTTTACCGCGAAAGTTAGACATTTTCCAGTTGAATTCGTTTCAAATCGCTTTGGCACAATCCAATGAAATAACGATGCTGACGTTGATCTACGAGAAAACACAGTCCAAAGGACCAATGACAGGCGACTTTTTCGTCAAATTTTTATCTTTCTGTTTCAGCTTCTCATCTAAACAACAGCGATGATGTGTGATGGTCGAGAAGAAGAGAGTACAAGTGAAAAAAGATTTGCAATGGTTTTTAAACCTTATGTCCTCTTTTCGGTTCATCGCTCTACCGTATTCAGTATGGTGTTCCTGCGGTTTGGAGGGCTGTGTACACATGCGGGCTCATTCGGTCCTTCCTTGTAAAAATCATTGAGAAGGAGAAGAGCTGTAGTCGCAATGCGATTGACGTCCGATTCCTATAATAAAAATATCATATGTCTCCAAGTAAAGAAGATGATATGTCAGTCAAATCAAAGTTATTTTATCACCCATACAGTTGGTTAAGGCGGGTCGTCTAAATGTCCAAAAATGAAAATTCAACTTCTTCTTTCATTTTACGTGTTTGTTTGCACCTTTCATGTAGTTGTCAGACAGAGCCCACTGCAAGCTACTGTAGGGGCTTATTGTTTATGTTTTTCTACGGTAATGGATATTTTAATGTTATTAATAAGATTTGTGTTAAGGTATCTCTTCACCTACTTCGTTCCATTTCTTACCAAACGATCTGCTATCTACTCAATCGAATGTCGGTCAACCCGGAAAGTGGATGTTCAGGATCGATGATTTGATTGGCACATGTCCGGCTGGTAGAGAACATCCTCCACTTTGCGATAAAGGTGATTGATATCAAACGCTTTGTGATTTCCTGCAAGCATTATGAGAAGAGGTCGAGCCAGAACCGTGCTTGTAATGATCGGCATCACTACCACCTCCGCTTCTCCTTGGTTGTGTTGAGAAATGAAACAAATGGATTGAATTTCTAATCTAAGATCGTCAGGTTTATCAGCACTGGCAAAGGTATATGTATATATATATATATAAATATAAATCTTACCAAAAGACAAATTATTCTATCTCTGTAGTGTGAGAATCCTTGACCTCGTCAAATTTTTCGTTTATTTTCTAAATACGATTTTAGTAGAGCATTTCCTATTACTTAGAGCTGGCTTGGGATTTTGATTTCGAATTTTGTTTTTATTCTCGTCTGACAGTTAGTTCTCTGTTCTGGTATTTTTCGTGCTGTGTTAGATTTTTCGTATTATCGATTTTCTATTGTTTTATTAATGATATGGTTTTCTCTGAAAGGAAAAGTGTCTTCTCCATAGTTATTGCGAAAAACGTCAACACTGTTCGTTAGCTTACAGTATTGGGTCGCTTGCGGTATTCAGCAGGTTACAGTACACCCAGTGTTTTCAGATTGTCCATCAGGACAATATGGTTTCTTCTGTGAAAGTCGATGCCGATGTGCGGCCGGCTTCCCGTGCGACACCGCAACTGGAGTTTGTGCCAATGGATGCGCATCCGGTTGGACAGGTCGCAACTGTGATCAGGGTTAGTTTGGCTTTAGTTTCGCTTCTCTTTTTTATGTATTTTAATGTTTATTTCTGCTAATTTTGGTGTTTTTTGAAGATGGAACATTTTTTTGTGGTTCCAAATGTGTTTGTTGATCTTTCTTAGGAACGACTTGTGAAATCATTTCTCGAAAACTCCGTAAGCCACTTTGAAGAAGTCAATTTGTTGTAGAGTTTTAGCCTTATTCGAAATTGCTAATGAGTGGTTTGTTAAGCGAATTTCTTTGAAAAGTAAGGAAGGCCGAAGAAGGCGCAAACTTTTCTTTGAATTAAATAGAATTTTTTCTTTGCAATATGAATAGTTAAGTGGTTGAGTGCAATTACATCAAGTAAACCCCTTCGTTTATCGCTGATAAAATTCAGAAGCCTTAGTCTGATTCAAAAAAAATCACGACTGTGACCATGTTAAAGTCTAATTTTTGGGACTCTTTGGATCTTTATGAGTTCAGTCTTCATGCTTTAATTAAATTTAAGAAACAAAATTGCGATCGAGTAAAAATTGTAGCTCATTTCTTTCGCAGACGTCGACGAATGTATTGCCGGAGTCGTTGGTTGCGGTTCGAATGCTGAGTGCGTCAACACTGTTGGAGGTTACGAATGTCGATGTCAGAAAGGGTATTCTGGTGACGGCAAACTATGCTCATGTAATTATTTCTACATTAGTCTTTATGTAAATATGAATAATAATAACGGCAAAGATCTGTCATGCCTAGAAACGCTTCTTTGAAGAAGTTTTACTTATCAGTTATTTTTGCGTGCCGAAATTTTGGAGCATTCTTATTCTTCTAGTGGCCGAACGATGCTACTCACGATTTGGACGATCCTGTTCGGTTAATGCTTCCTGCGAAGAAAATCCGGATGGTCCACAATGTGTATGCAGTCGTGGTTATCAAGGCGACGGTTTTATATGCTTACCTCAACCTCACATTCACTCCTCAATTGGAGATATTACGAATCTCCTGCATAGTGAAAAAAGTCAAGGTAAGAAAAATAAAATTTCATGAGTTTTTTCGAACATTCATTGATCGGCATAATTTAAGGAGGAGGATATTAGAGGGATTTTCAGATGACACTCATTCTGATGTCGACGATCATCCATTTGTAATGACTGGTTGGCAGGGCCCATTGTGGACTACACAACGATCTCCAATCCCTCGAGGATATTCAGTTCTACAAATCGGTGAGGAATTTTTTAAAATTATTTCTGTTTTTGCCTGAGAACCGAGCAAGACTGGCTGAGAGAAAGGTAGAGAAAGGACGTTGGTGCTGTGGGTATAATCGCGTGGTCTAAACTAGTCTGGAGTCTGAATTTTGTAGATATCTCAGCATCATTGTAATTGTATTTCATACAATATCTTGCCATCAAAAAATAATAAGCAACAAATAGAAAGTTACTCATCATTTTTCTACTCTTGACCATTAATCCAGATTCAGCTCAAAACTTCCCCCGGCCATTTTAGCTTCTACAAGTAATCCGTCGATAAACGTGATAAAGAAAGGACAACTAGACATTCAAGAGGAACTGGCAGATGCGACGACATGTGAGCTTTTGTATTTGTGGAAGAATACTCTGATGGTGATTTGTGTTACGGATGGAATATCATTGTCGTAACTGTGAATTTCAGTAGTGTTCCTAATTGGTCCTGCCGTATTATGCGCCATCTGGGTGATCCTTGTTATTGTGGTCATAGCTGTTTGCTGTAGAAACGAGACCAGGTAGTTCAGAGTTCAAAAGTAAAGCGCTATTTTACACCCGACGAATCGCTTCTTAATTTTTGTCTGATTACAATCCATTTCAAATATCTTGTCTATTTCAAATTGGAGCCTAAGTTCCTGAAATTTTATCCTATCGGCAGTAAAATTAGTTGCATGAAAACTGGTATTGTGCAAACTTTGAATTCGTGTCCGTTATGAATCCAAGCTGAGTGCCATAAAACACTTTTATCCAAGATTGACGAAAATCGTTTGTGGTTTTTTAAATTTGTTTCCGATTCCTTCGACTATTATACGTCCTTCACTTTGATAGAATTCCGTCAACAGCACTTTACTTCCCCGAATTCACCAACTTCTTTCGTTGTATTTCGAGTTTGAGCATCGATTTTTGGCAAATGCTGTTTCCTTTTTAATAAGAAAGTAAAGGACTTAACTCAAAAAGGAATTAGAGAACGTCATGGCGAATTTGTTCCAGAATCAAATCAAACCTGTTGTTTTCTCACTCTTATACTTTACTATGGAAGTTTAATACTACTGATGAAAAGATAGTTTAAAGCAAGATGATCGATTTATATTATGATAGTATAGTAAAATGTTTGATATCCTTCGACATGAGGTAATGATAGTGATCTTTTTTCATATTTTTGCTACTTTCGCATATATTGACTGTAATCGCGCTTTATCATAAGCAGGGCCCTTAAACGTCTTTTTTTCGCTCTACTGTCACCTTCTCAACTCGAGGAACGACTAGGCCATTGTGGGGCTGTGCTCCAGTGGTTGCAGATACTCATGAGCAGTTTGTGGGCTTCTCGCGGTGGAGGTAACACTTGAGCGATCTGCCTATTAAGAACAAGCGGTCCATCCGTGAATTTCCTCCTCCATTTCTTTTAGACTCACGCTTAGTCCAATATGTCCATTATTAAGATTGTGTCACATATCGACGCGGGTAGCCAGCTCGACTTTCCCCATCTAGCTGCAGCTGTGTCGTGAAATTACCCATTATTACATTTACTAAAAATTTTTGTTGTAATCTAAAATCACATTTGCGTGGTAGAGTTTTTCAAAAATTTTATTTTGCAGTGAGCGACCATATAGAAGCACTTCTAAGCAATTTGGAGCCGTACGGAGACCACAGTCTCATACCCCTGCTACTGCCATTAGCGCACCGTCGAACATCACTCATTTCGCATCTCGATTACGACCGTTTGACGTGTACTAGCGTTTAAAATCGCCATCGCCTTATTAAATAACTCCGTTCAGCAGGAAAAGTCTTCTCAAGGTAATTGTAAAATTATGGTAATTGATAGACTCACAGTCTTGCATTACTTAACGGCTACAATATAATCATAAGGTGTTACATTGAATGGAAGGCACAAAAATTTTTGCCAGTATAAAGTTTTTCGTTCATGGCTATATTACGAGCTGCCCGTTATGTTTTCTTTTTGTCCCTTATTTGTTTTTTATACCAATTGCCCATTTCAGTTTCTTAGCGATGCTCTCAATGAGGCGGGCTATGAGTTTTATCGTGCCTTTCTCTTAGCGCTTGTCATCTCGTTGTTTTGTGATGAAAGTTGTTTCGCATTTGAAGGCGATAAGCAATAGCTCTGCAATGCAGTATTTTTTGTAGATAATATGTTTTGCTTTTATGTCCATCAGAGTCATTCATTTGTATGTGCGAATTTGCTCAAGGATTCTTGTTTCAATGAAGCTTTTGTTAACGTTGAAGCGAATTAACTAGAGCAAAGGCTTTCACACATTCGAAAAGCCTTTTTCTTTGAGAAGTGTAGGACTAAAGGTCTGCCTAACCACGTCCTTTGCCGAAGTATTTTTGTACGTCAATAATTCACGTGTAGCGTGCTATGTTTAGGAAGCTTTTCGCAAACATTCAAAAGACAGTTTATGGAAAATTCCTACTAGGGACGACTTATCTAAGGTGTGCAGTGCGGATGAAAAAGATAAAGCTCTTGGCGTTTATCAATCCCTAAGGGATGCGCAATGGATTCGACTTCATTAAGCATCGCTGGAGGTGGTTGAATGCATATCTGACCTTTACAATGACTTGCGGTGGCCTACCGATGTATCGAATCAATGTTGCTATTCTCACAGACAACTCTGGTACCGATTTGCCAACTCCAGAAGGATGAAGGGCTTGGTGGGTCAGGGCAGGGAAGTCGTTTCCGTATGTACTGCAGGGTTCCTACGAACACTGCGTCACACGCGCCCTATAAAATGTTTATAGAAGTAAGCTCCTTCCGATATCGTCCTACTTCATGGCAATTCTATATTTAATTCTTCAAGTATACGTCTCTATGGCTCATTGTTCACTTCCTTGTTCTATATGGGTGTTCTGATATTTTATGTTAATAAGACCTTAATGGAAATGCCACCGTCACCGGCAGAAACATAGCACATGGACTAACACCTCGATTATAGCTCTCGCACTGTAGGTGATAAAGCTGTTGAAAGAAAACGAACTAGTGATTATTTATTTATTTTTATTCTACATGGTCCGTCATCACGCCTACATGGTCTATCCGAGCACTTCTTGTATTCGACTCATTTTCCTACCATTCGGCCTTCATCGGCTGGGGGATTTCGCCTTTTATAAATGTTTTGGAATCCTGTTCGAGTTGGTTTTTCTTAAAATCTTGGTGATAACCGGGCTAAGGAATTTCCGCGAGAAATGGAGGAGAGTGTTGGAAATGAGGTTGAACAAGCACTTCGCTTCCTGATAGACTGCATCACTAGCCGCCTCGCTACCGATTTCATCGAATTAGTCCTAGTCGACTCATATTGGCTCGGCAACAATAGCACGACTTTTATCACTCTATTTCGAGAGTTTACGAAGAAAATATGAGTAAAGTGTGTTGTTCACTAGAAGAGTAATTTTTTCCAACAACGTTCTCGACCATATACGCTTGACTGTAAGCTCGTTTCGTCCTATTTTCTCAGAACCTCTATTATTGACGACATAGGCAAAAAGGTGGGTTCCATTAGTGAAACTAGGGTTTACAAAAACATCGAGGAGTGGATGAAGAAAACTTTAGTTTCCACACCACATCCTGAAAACTTTTCTGCTAATACATTAACGTGTTTCACGGATAACGAACAAAGTAAGCACAAACTAGCAAAACTTTCAGACATGAAAAAATCTTGGTAATGAGCAGCAGCTATAGTGGATAATGCTGCAGAGGCCTGAAGATTTTCTTTGGATTTTGCGGTCTAAGGGTCAGTATTAAATTTCTCTGAGTTTCAAAGCACAGCCACTGATTCCAGATCCACTGAGGAAGGCCTTCGAAACCGAAGTGTTGTACTAAAAAATCCACCAAACACCATAAGACCCTAATAAAAGTGGTCTACGGTTGCAAAAATCTTTCAGAAAATCTATGAGTGGAAACCTCATAGAAAGCGGCTCTGAAGAAGGCGAAATCCGCCGAAACGTCAGCTTAATCGTGAACAAAGAATAGTAACACCTCGCGTTTGCTCAACAAAAATACGAAAAAAAAATCTTTCATTTCGACTTCTGGCATGCTCATCCGTGAAGATTTATCGAAAAGCTGGTTTTCACAATACTAGTAACCTGGTGAAGCTATTGCGAAACCTTATCAACACAAAAATACGCTCCGGGGACTAACGCGTTCACCACCACACCACGCGAGTCCTTCGTTTCTCCTTTCTCTTCGCCGTGTTATTGACATATAGGTACTATCAGCAATTGGGATCGAGTCAACGGGAGTGATCTGGGAAACACAAGTCGTCATTGAATCGGCATTAATAGTATGCGTACGATGTACCTGATCTCTTGTAGTACTTGCGGAGACGAATATACTGGTGAAACAGGCAGAAATTTATGTATCCACATAAAAAAACATCTAGATGGCAAAGGAAAAGCAAAACAAAGTACCCCACTAGGGACGCATAGGATACAAAGGCACTGCGGAGACGATCTTGATATAAAAGTTACTGTACTCGCACAGGATGCCAAAACACCAGTGCACAAGCTTCTTAAGGCTTTTTGGATAAATACCAAAAACTCCACAATGATCAGTAGAGAGGAATGTCCCGAGAACACCCGTGATCTTGCCCCGTACCTCCGTATCGACCGTTGATGTGGTGAGGTGCTGTCGTCAACCATATGCGACGCTGATCAAAGGCTCTTCCTCAGTGGAAGGCACGTATGAAACGGTGGCTTTTTCGAGAAGCTGTTGATCACGTGAATACACCTTAGATTCTCATCTTTTTGTATGTGATATTGAAGCGCTTGACGTAGTAAATTGTATATCAGTATAGCCTTCCAGGCTCTGAAGAAGGCGATTCTGGCGAAACGTCAGCTACGATTGTGTTGCATATGCGTTATAGTATGGAATTAATGCTTATATTCCACATAATCCTCCTAACGGTTTACAGCCTTATCATGGCTGGGAGGTGTTCCTGAGTGTCGGACTGCGATGTACAGCGGGAGTTTGTCCATTTATCCATTCATCAATTCATCCATTTATCCATTCGTCCATTCATCCATTTATCCATTCATCAAGTGCCTTTGAATTTGCACGTGGGTTCGGTTACTGCTTGAAGGTTTTTGCATATTTTTCGAGAACACCGTTGAACACAGATCAAGTAGATTTTCGCTGCACTTTTGGGAAAAGAGTTTTAGCGCGTTTCGTGATCTTCACCAAAGAGAGCTTTTGTGAACTGCATGGAGCTTTTTCCACGTAAGTTTGTTATCAGTCAGTCTGCTCCACGGAGGGAATAGGACCGGATTAGGACCGGATTAGAATGGACAGAAGTGATATCAACTCAAATGACTCCACAATTCCTCAACTTTCTTCGTCTGTCATATCTTTTCTTCATTATAGCTCTTTCTTCTACCATTACTTTCTTATTTTCTCTCTCGTTAACACTTCTAATATACAGTTGTGTAATTTCTGTCGTGTTTGTTCTTTATGAAAATATGTAAAGTAAAGCTTGATGGATGTTTCGTTGCTAGTAAATAACACCAACGTCTCA